AACGTGCACCCCAATGCATGTCACTTCTACGGTTATACTTCATGTACGAAGTTCTGCATTCGCACAGGCTATTTTAAAACATTTCATTCTTTTCCAGTGGTCGAAGTCATTTATCAGCCCCCTCCCTCTTTTATTTTATAATGAAAGTCATATATATATATTCTTTGCAGATCATTAGCAACCATACAAATGACACAGGATTTCAAAGCCCCAGTCTGCTGAGCATTACCCCACGGTAGGCAGAAGGAGAAAAATCACCGATTATTTTTTCTGTGAAAAACATTATCCTGAACAATTTCTCTTCAAGACACTAGGAAAGACTTTCAAATGCTTCACAATATGCTAAACAGAATTAACAGGTTTCATGTGGCTTTTAGGCCACAGCTTCTCATTAATTAGGGAGCTCTGGTTTAAAGCCATTGCAGGATTGTATTTGAAGGTTACCAGGTGTTCTTGTACTCATATTATCCATTAGTGAAATCATAATGCTGATAATTTGATACCCATCTCACTATTCACCACAGGCTGCTGACAGCTACTTGGAACATTATGGTAAACCCAAAGCCAGTTGTCTTTAGAGGAAGAAAAGGTAATTACTATAAATATAAGACAACCAACATTTTTTTAATAGTCCAAGAGCCCCTCCCTTCTCAAGTTAAATTCCAGTGAGAATATCTTCCTCTACAGACAAGATTTAGTCAGTCTTTTGTCTTAAAAAAAAAAAAAACAAAAGAAAGAAAAAAAGCTGCAGATTATGGCCTTGAACACTAGAATAACCAATGAAAATTTGACATATCCAAAATGACAGCAAGGAGAACAGATTTAAGATCTAGCTCATTTCCTTGGTGTTTAAACTATAAAAAAAATTTAAAGGTAAACTGTAAGACCTGCAAACTGTGTATTGCTCTCTTACTCACTGTGCTCTCCTGCTCTCACGGACTGCTCATACCAGACATAAACTAGAGATTATCTTGCTCCTTACAGTGGTTATATGAAACTATGGAGCTTGTATCTTTGTTGCTTAGGGTTTGCAGTTTGGTTACCACATCAAGAGCTTAGTACACCTACTGCCCTCAGGCCCCTTGGGACAAAAATCCACGTTACTGAAAATCGGGACTACTGGAATTTTAATGTTTTAGAAACTAGACTTGTAAATCAATAGCAATAAAAGAAATTATATGTATTCAGATCAAAAGCTGAAACTTGCCTCGCACAATTTTCCATTTTGAAGATAAGATGTACAAAGCAGGTAAATCAATTCCACAAAATGACTCTGATGCCATTAGCAGAACATCTACTGTAAAGAATCATTTATTAAATATATATTGGGGCATCAGTCCTTGCTTTTAAGAAATGAGAGTCTAGCACAAAAACTAGCTAGACAATTTACTCTTGCCCACATGGAGGCAAAATAGCATGTGGTCACTAAATGGCTAAACAAGCACCATAAACCATTACCTCAGATGGAGCAGAATTTGCTCTCCTTCTCCAATGTCAAAGTAATTTTAAGTGACTAAAGGCAACTCAAATTTTTAGATCAGCCTAATAGGCGGGTTCTCTCCTACCCTATTAAGGACATTGCCTCAAATCAGTAGCTAGTGCCAAGCCTCCATACAAGATTCATTTTCATTACAGCTATGCCTTGCAGGAGCCCAAAGGGCACAAAATGTTAACTGACCTGAAAACAAGGTCCCATAGCTTCAAGGTTAGATACATACATATATATATATACATACACACGATACTTCAAGAACTGTTTCCAGAAGAGAATAGTTTAGCACAGCTCCTGCTGTCTTGGCTACAGAAAGAAGTTGGCTGATGGCTATATTGCTGCCTTTAACAAGAATGTCAAGCTCAAATCAAATCTGCAGGAAAATTCTGGACTGACAGTCAGTCCTGTGACCAAGATTGCACTTAACAGCATCAACTCAAACACCCTCCTGTTTTGATTTGGTGTACCAAGCCTAAGAATGTGCTGTCCAATGTGGGATTTTAAGTTTCATTGCCATACTTCTCAGTAAATCAAAGGCATTCCCATCACGACACAATTCCGCTTCTCTGAATTACCTATTTTAAACTGTCAAGCATCAAACAAGTCATTCCTGAGCTCCCTTGATACTTAAATTTATTTTCAACAGGAACAGCAGATATAAGCATCTGTCAGGACTGGGCATCACAGGAACACACTCTTTCTGATACTCAAAGTAGTCAACAAACTTATTACTGCTTTTGTCCAACAAACTGAGCATGGACAGCAAGAAGCAACACCAACATAAAACCTAAGCCTTTCTTGAACACCAAAAATTGCTCTATTAAAAATATACTTACCTTGCAACATCCCTCTCATACCACCAATCTAAGACTACTAAGTAATTTCAGATATAAAAATGTGAAAGTAGTAAATGCAATATAATGTGTAATACATGCAATGTGTTTGCCTATTCAATACAGGATTTATTTAGCAAAGTTTACAATAGAACTGCACCAGCCACCCTAAAAAAATTAGAACCCAAGGTAGTGCTGCTGCAACCCACATCTTTGTACTCAAAGAATTGACTCCTCTTTCTCCCTCTTCCCCGGATGCTCAACACTTTCTGCAGTTTGGCTGTAAGACAAAACTGCCTCCAATTAAGAGTGAAACCTTGGCTCTGCTTGACAGCATTACTCTCCTACAAAGTAGTAATGAATGGAAGAAATGACAGTCTACAGAGCCTAAAATAGTACCTGTGAGGTACAGGTGGGCAGCGTATTTACAATAAGGGCACATTTTAAAATCTGAGTTTATTTCATCTCAAACATGATAACAGTGTTTTAGTCAAAATTGAGAAATATTTTTAAAACCTATTATAATTTTGGATTTTTCTGTTATAAGAGCTGTGAGCTTACTGAAGAGTGTTCTTTGGTGTTATATATTTGTAACTCCTCTTACAGCTCCTCTCTTGGCAGCGTTTTTCCTAAATCAGAGTTTAACAGATACTGAAGTCCTAAAAAACAGTCTCAGGCTTAGTTGGCATGGCCGATGAAAGAACTATTCTCCTAGAGAAAGAGATATACAGAAATGATACATCAGGTGTTTTTGACAGCCTTCATAGTCAAAGCACCTCACACCACTATACACAGAAAAACTTCCTTGATAAATGTGGTCCTGTTGCAGTGCTTTCACAGTGTTTGTTACAGCCCCCCTTGCGAGCTGCTTAGCACTTACACAAAACTATTTGCTTCATGGTAGTCAGCAAAATTAACGTAGTCCAAATTTCTAAAAGCAATTACTCTGAATAAGTTTTACGAGCAAACTTTGTTTAGAAATTGTCAAGAGCATTTCTGAAGCCATGATTACCCAAGACTGATACAGCTGGTACAACTCCTAGTTTAATCACAGTAGAGTAGCCCAGTTTGTAAGACACAATATGTTGCAATGTTTCAAGAGTTTTACAGAGTTTGATCACAGCTGCGCTATAATTAAGTTGCATTCATCCTTGCTTACCACCACCAAATAGATTCAGAATTGTAGCCCAACAGCTCAGCTGGCGTAGCAGCCACAACCGGGCAAATACTGGCTGTAACAACAGTGACCTCAACAACTATGCTGATTTACAAAAACAGACTTCTAAATGAATACTTAGAACATAGAAAATTTTGCACCACAAAAAACCCAAGACAAAGTTGAAAAGTTTCAACAAACTCTAAATTAAGAGGCAAGTAAATTAACAGCGTACTTGTGATTGTAAAACTACTTTGCTTGAGGGGAAATTCTGCTCTGCTGATGAACATCTGAAAGGCTTTGAAAGATTAATTAAATAATCCTATGGAAAACACAGTTGCTCCTTAATGCTCCTATAATGAATAATACTAATTATGAATATACACTGCACTCAGTGTGCTTTTGGAATTAATTTGGCAACTGTGACTTTAGTTGAAATATCACTGCTTGCATCAGAACTGCCTAGATTTTATTTTTGGGGGGGATTTATGAATTGAAGAACTCAATTTATTCACTGCTTAACCTCTGATGCTCTTATTTATTTCACTGTTAAGACAGGAGCTTTTCAAGAAAACCCTAAAGAAATAAAGAACTGCATCTATAGATGAGAAGTTTGGTGTTGCTGTTTTGTTTTTTCTTTTTTTTTTTACCCCCGTGGTTTGTTTCCCCTCAGCTACTTCTAGAGTTCTGAGAGGACCGCCCAGGGTGAGAGAAGCAGCTGTGACCTTTCATTAAAGATGCACTGCTAGATACTCAAGGAATCCCTATTAATCACGAACAAAAACATGAGAACAATTAGAGAGCTTGAAGCAAGAAAGAACAATGAATCTTCATACCCAGCTGGGCCCCTACCAGACTTTCAGAGAGTTTAAGGGGAAGTGTTGCATTTGCAGTGACCTCTATAACTGGTGCCTCAAGTATACCTTTGCATTATTGTGATTCCTAAGTCAATGAGGTTACACCTACACCACAAACGGAGGTGTAAGAGCCATATCCCAAAGCCCAGCTATACTGCTTTAGATCTAGTTACCACAATTCAAGTGTAAAAACAAAGCAACAAAGGCTCCCAGCCTCAAGACGAGGATCTGTGCCAGGACTTGGACGTAAGTGCAGTTAGCCATTGCCCTTTCACTGTTACTGTCACATCCTCAGGACAGGATTTGCCTAAGCTTACACTGCAGTTACATTTGGCTTTGCTGCGTAGGTGTTAACTAGTCCAACTCTAGTAACTGACTACATAAATTACAACTCCCTGAAGACATATTTTTTCATTTACTTGGGATTTGCCTTTAAAAAACAAATTAATAGTAGGCTGGCATCAATACCTTCTTCCTACAAGCGGCAATAACCAACTGCTACAGAAATAAATCAGAACTAAAGCCATTGATAACACAGTTCTTATGCGCATTCCTGTCACGCATTTGCAAGAATCTTACTTTATGGAAATCAGAATTTAATATAGTAAATACATCGCAAGTTCACCAACCTGAATACTAAGAAAGAAATGTCGACGCTGTACTTTTCCTTTTTTAAACAAATATTACAAAATTGAATTTTATTGAGTTTCACACAAGATGCACTTATAAAATTGATACAGAATGTCATTCAACAGAAAAAAAAATATGAAAGCAATTCCAAGCTTTCTTTAGCAACTGCTAAATAATTAAAAAATAAGATACACCAAATTGACAGATAATCTGAATTTCAATGTGAACATCTCCAATTAGTATAAAATACATCAAAAATTAAAGAATTTCATATTTTTCCCCAGCACGAGTCCTCTCTTCTTTTTACTCTCATCCCTGAACAGTAACCACAGATTTTGGCCACTACTCCAGCTACTCTTGATGGGATAGGAGAGGCTGAAAGACTGCAGCAAGAAGTTCCGACCAGAGCAGACCATGCTAACCTGTATGGCAAAGCTACCTCATTACCAAGTCTGCTCAGACACATAACTCTGTCCAACTGTCTCCATTTGCTATATTACTGTAGTCCTGCAAGTTTCAGGGATTAGCATATACATTGAACTTTCGCATGTTCATAAAGCAAATAAACTTTGGCTTTCCCACTCTGACAAATTACGAAATTAGCAAAGAGCAAATTTTGTCTTCATTTGTTCAGCACTGAAGTACTTTTATGATACCTTCCCTTGGAAAGTGAAACTGGTGCTTACTTAAATATCTGAAAGGCATTTGAAGTTAATGCTGTGTTTTAACAATATATGAAGAATTTATCATTAACTAAAGGGTCTCTTCTGATACAAGTCTCCAGCCTAAGTTTTGAGCTCAAATTTATTCCATTCTTCATCTGAGGATTCCAAACCATCTTTCATCAATTCTCCCACAACTGCATCTCACACCAGAAATTAGGATGCATTGTAATGCTTAAACAGTCTTTAAAGATCCAGTCCATCTACTTAAGTTTGTCTAAACCGAATCAATTAAAATGGATAATTGATTTGATTGTCAGTATGAGCTTTTATAGGCATGTTCTCAGGCAAGTTAATACACAGATGTCACTATTATCAGTTAAACCCAAACCACAGTGTAATATTCTTTTCTGCCGTGTTAATGCCATACATAAAGTTCCAGCATAACACTTGCTTGCTGCAACTAACACTGCCTTTCCTCAACAAATATAAATGCCCCTTTATTATTTTTTCCTACAGCAACAAAAAATCCTCAGCTTTTAAAAATAATTTTATAAATAATTTGCCTTGCAGGACACACAACACAAGAAATGAATATGCTTCATATTTGCCCAGTTAAGCAGAACCTTCATTACGGTGATCTTTCCTTGGTGTTTAGTATTTAGATAAAATAGTATGCAGTAAGTCTTTCATTTAAAGGCAAAATTTTATTCTGATTACAAGATTTTCAAGATACATCTTGAAAAGGTTTTTGTTGACAAGAATAACTATCTTGACTTACTGTTTTATGTACCAATGCTTTACGCGTTTGTTGATATAAGCACAAGCTTTGAATTCTGCTTGCAGATGTTTAATAAAACAAGGTTAACTGGAAAGGCAAGCTTCTGATCAAGTTGTCATACATTTCCAGGAATATCCTTACACTGGAGGAACCCTTCATGAAAAGTAGTATGTTCTGGAAGCATGGTTTCATAATGCAGAACAGGATTATGCTTTTTTTCCAGTCTATTTTCCAGAAAAGTGATACTGCAGCTCTGCCACCAGGCTAGAGACTCAGGATCCACCACATTTTCCAAGAGGCAAGTTAAAGATCACTTACTTGACCTGACCAGATACCAAGCCAAGTTACTTGTAGAAAGAAATTAATATTTTTTGCCATTAATAATTTAAGTTTTTAAATAAATATTTATGTGCCTTTTGGGGCAACTGTCCATTCTGGTAGCATCTGCTGTCCCAACAGCTCAGTATCCTTAGCACATTGATTTAAAAAAAAAAAAAAACAAAACCAAAAAAAACCCCCCCCAAAACTTAGTCAATTCTGTTTCCACAAATAGTAAACCTGTCTATCTCCAACAAGTCCTTCTTTGAAGACCTGTGCTTTAATTCTGAACTGTCTTGGCTTATATCTTTTTCTTCTCCATCAGGAGTTGTCAGAAATTGATCAGAACTGCTTGTTACAAGTAAAGATGGCATATTCTCCTTCTGATGCACAGGCTGATTGGTAACTGATGTAGATCCATTTTCATCTGTGGAAATTCCTGGTGGAACAGAAGACAATCACAAAGATAATAATGAATTTAACACAGACGTACTGATGCATCTGTAACATCCAGATTCATCCAAAGCTGTCCTGAAAGTGTGCTGTATCAAATCAGCAGAAGCAAGAGAAGAATGCTTTGTGGAAGCCACTACCAAGCCACTGCCTCTTCTTAGTTTTACCATAAGAGATTTCCTTTTCTAATTTGGTAAAAGGACAGAAAATTAATTCTACAGAAGTTCAGATAACAAGCAAGAGCATAAGCAGCAGATGTTAGGACACACACTGCATTCTTGTGCTTTACATACTCATTTTTGTTGGCTTAGGCAAAGAGATTTTGACAGTCATTGTGTGAATCACACAAATATTTTCAACTGAAATGAAGAAAAGGAATCTCTGTAGCAGGAACTAGATGTGCTTAATCCTCTACATAAGTAGAATAAACCTGGCTTCTCTAGGGATAGCTAATAAATGACTCATGCACTGCTACACACTTTAATAGCACTGGCTCCTAAAGCAGTTCTATTAAAGATGTCTATTTTTATTCCTGCCTCTTACTTCAGTGGAGTTGAACACTGGCTCCATTAACCCAGGACATTTTTAAGTAATATCCATGTATTGTTTCCACATTTTGTTAAAACATTTAAAGAATTAAAATGCACAAGCAAATGACAAGGAAATAAATTTTTCTTATTTACTATCTCCTCGTAAAGACTGTATTATTGTTTCTAAAGGAATCTGAAAAAATTGGACTAATGTGGAGAGTACTGCAGATCAGCCCAAGGGAACATTTTTTGTCAGAATGGCAGCATTATCCAAATTACTACAAAAACTTATTTCTGTATAGCATGTCTTCACAGTATACCATCTACTACTTGAAGGTACATGGATTACTCTCTATAGTTTTATGCAAGTCAAAGGTACTAAACTTGCATTGAGAAAGGAGACAAGTAATGCTAATTGTAGAACTTGGCTACAAAGGTAAGTATTTTCTAATCCAGCAGCTTCCAGAGAAAGCTGGCCAGCCTATAAATGATTACCAGTAATTAGAACTTCCACCCTTCAAAAGCAAGTATGAAATTTTATCCTTCAAAATTTTAAACTGTTTCTGTGGACGAGGTGGAAACTCTTACGAAAATAAACTGACTCACATTATAAGCTGAAAGAAAGTAGACGAGATTAGTTCCCTCACCCTCATTCTACTAAGAGATAGGTTGAGAGACTGCATTGGAAAAAAAATCTGGTAAGTGGGGCACAGGGATTAACCAATATTGCAGAGCCCAGCAAATACACAGAAGGTGGGGAAGGTAACATCATTCTTTCAAATAATTGAGGTTTCTAGTAAATAAAGAGCTGTTAAAAAGTATTAAAAAAAACCCAACCAAACTGTTAAAAATTAGCTTTTTCACTGATGGAAGTTAGGAATTTTCTAAATAAAATCAGCAAAAGCTTTTTGATTGTTACTTTTCAATCAAAATCTTTCCATTTGAGGAAATAAGCATCTCTGCTGACTGACCTGGTAAAATTGCTGCTGCTTCAGCTAAAAATAGGCTTCAGGATTTATTTACTGTGAGTAAGTTTAAGGGTCAATCTGAGTAAGTATGACTTAAGTCTCATATGCAAGTGTAGTACTAGAACGTTTAATTAAAACATTATCATTATGACAGTCATCTAATGAAATGCAAAAGACATTCAGACCAATTCATATTACATTCTTTCATCAAGAAACTAAAGTAACCCTTTAAATTTAAGCTATTTAAAAATAAACGTCCACACCAAGTTTCTGCCTGATGTGATTTGACACAGGTGAGAGAGAGATTTACTACTAAAACACTGACAGATTCTTAACTCTGCTACTGCTGGCGAGACACTATGACGACTAATAAGCACCTTGCATTTCAAGCTGTTCAAGTCTTTGGCAAGCAATAGAGCGAACACAATAAAAGCCTCACTGTTAAGTTCTCTAGGGCTCTCACTGAGCTCTTCACAGAGGAAGATATACAATCCAATTCAGTTGACTGGAACAATGAAGGTTTCTGTTTCCTTCTATAACTTGTCATAGGAACATAATGATGCCCCATTCCAATTACATATTAACCACTAATGCTGAGGACCTATATGAGAAAACCATGCTGCACAGACTTGAAATGAAGCGAGTAGAGACCAGCCGAAATTCCTATTTGGATTTCAGAAAGCTTTTCATTAATGTGTTCATGACAACTACAAGTAATTATACCTATTGTGTGCCATGTTTTACATTAATTTCCATAAGAAATGCACAGGTTCCTTCCTCATTAAGCTTCAGCACTGCCAGAAAGGATGTGTAAATATTTCCTTATTTGTGTAGTGACATGGCAGAGGGGGTTGGACTAGATGATCTTTAAAGGTCCCCTTCCAACCCAAACCATTCTATGGTTATGATTTCAAACAAAAGCGTGCTACTGTTCCGATGGTTCTATCACCTCCACATATCAGGGTGAGATCTTATCAGAAAGATCAGTACTTGCAACCAAAAGAAGATGCACAAACTAAAAGCAATAAATTCTATTACATTTACACACTTGTGTTCACAGCTGTGATACAGTACGATTAAGGTCCAGCAACAGGCTTACTGTGCAGCAATGTCATACATCTGGTTTAATATTAAATTTAGTCTGAAAGCAATTATCATTACAGTTAAAAACAAAACAAGGCAGTTAGCCTTACCTTGGGTAGATTTAAACATGCTTTGCTGTTTGCCAGCTGGCTTCCCTGGGGTGGCAGTCAGGACAGGATTGAATAATTTCTCCTCCATTTTTGCCTCCTTTACATATTGACATGATTTCCCCAGCAATACAATACTGTTAAGGACTTTCAGAGATATTAACCTGAAAAAATAAAAGTATTTGTTTACATATTTGCATTAGCACATTAAAATAATTGCATATTATTCATACTGCAATTATTCGTATTAAAATAATTGCATATGGTTACTGCTGTCTTGGAAGGATTAGCTAACAAATTAAATCCCTTCAATACAACATCAAAAGGTAATTTCCTTTTCTTAACAAAAACAACAAGTTTTATCATAGTTTAACAAAAGGACTACAAGGACAGTTAAGCAGCCATTTAATACATCAAATATTTAAATAGAGAACTAAGAAGGGCCTTCAACAGTGCGAGTCCAAATTAACTGCACTACTGTTAAAATTGTAGCCTTAAGTGTGCTCAGCCAAGGATCACTAGTGGACTTTGAACCACAAGAAAGCAAGTATCCAGCTTTCACAAATTACAGGCTAATCATAAAAAGTCCTTTTTCACATCACAAAAGACAGTCCATGACACTCAACAAATCCAAAGAGGCAGCACTGCATTACCATCATAGCAGAGTCCAGTTGACGGCAGATTCCTTTTCTATTATGACTAACTTGCAGCACAAACTTCAACAAATCATTTAAGTCCCTTTAATACCTGTCTTCTCAGTTGAAGAACAGGAAGGTTTCAACTACCACCAAGTGCTTACAACTCAAATAAGCTTTGTAAAATTTAAGTTCCATTACTAGTATTACATGACACACAGACCAATGTCCACTCCAGGGTGAAAGCAGAGGTGAAGCAGGTGAAGGCTCACTACAGAACAACAAAGAAATCTATTCTCTGTAGGATGAACATAAATATCCTCTACACAAATCAACCTATGTAACAAAAGTGAATGAAATGCAGACTCTAAATTCATTCTCCACTCTGAAAAATCTGTTTATTAGTACGTCACTAACAGACTAAAAAGCAGACTTGAAGTGAACATTCACAGATCCATGGAGCAGGTCTAACTACTTAATCATGAAGTGACCCAAGCACACTTCAGCAGCAACTTCACTATCTCTCACTGCATTAATGTAAACAGAACTTGTCAAGCAGAAAAACAAAGCACACTGCACTTTTAAGGGATTTCTATGCAATACATTTAACTGGTAAAAGAAATTTAGAGAAATGGAAGAATGAGCAGAGCAGGCCACTTTCAGTACTCAGAAGAAACTGACATTTTAGCATCCAAGCAACCACAAAGAAGATATCATTTTATACAAGTTGAAAGCTGCAATTGTCTACAATTTTATTAGGTTATTGGGAAAGATTTTGTTTGAGAGTTGAGAAGCTCTCCTCCATGTTTAGTAAGTTTTAGAGATGTTTTTTCCTACACTTTTTATGTAACAAGCTTTTGTTCTGAGAGAGTAGGAGTTTACAGCATAATTTCACTATGATTTAATGAGATTAGAAGTTAAAAAGGCCATAAATCAACACTTCACTGTATCAGTTCCAGCTTCTCATGGAAAACTATGCAGGAGTTTCTAGCAATTCTCCTTTATTCTTTTCTGCCAGTCCACTCCAGGCTCAAATTTCTAACAACAATGTAAGTTTGCAGTTGTACAAAATCCTAGAAAAAGAAAACTCCGTTTTCATATGCTGGGCAAGACTCTTTAATAGTATAACTTACAGTATTACAGTTGTTAAATATTAATACAAACCAATGTCCTCCATATTACAGTCTCAATCCTTTGCCCAGTTAACTGTTTCAGATTTTACCACATTGTTTCTCACATAGCACAGATATGATATTACTAATCATTACTAATCAGATGAAAATCTGAAATTTACATTCAGAACACAAATTACTTGAAAGGTGCAAGAGGTGAGTTAGCTCCACATCTAACATCATGGCAGAAGTAAAAATCTGTTCTTACTTTTCAATAAGGACAAAATAAACCAAAATGTATTTACTCTTGTGACCTATGCCTTCGAAGAGCAGCATTTAATCCTTCATGTTAATCACACTACTTCTTCCTGCCCTCCATCCTCCAAGCCACAGAGACAGGGAAAAATCCACGGCTGGGCTGCAGCAGTGCAATGGTAGATGTAGGGAAATATTACATGTATTGGGAAAAAGGAAAAAACACTGAGCAGAATAAAGGTGCTGAGCTTGGTATGCCACAGCTTGAATGTGATGATCAGGGACTAGTGCTTTCAGTTATATAGAGCTGGCTTTAGGGAAAACATGGGCACAGCATGTGGTACACTGGGGAAGAAATCGAAGTATGGTGCAGAGGAATATGGCTAACATTTTAATATTTGGCTTATATGCAGTATCTCAAAGTCCTAGTTATCCAACACTAAAGAGATGCGTCTCTACACTGATGTGGACTAGACACATCAGATCAAGTTCTACGTTTTTTGCTGATCAAGATCAGATTAGAGATAAGAGTCTACCTATTCATAAAAAATGTGTAGCAATGCCGTTCTTTTCAGAAGGTATTGTAAAACAGCAGCCTCCTCTCTTCTGGTCTACATGCTGAACCACTGACCCAGACCTAGAAGCCTTTTACTTCCCAAGCCTTGTGGCCTTCAGTTACAAACACAACTTGGCAGGGCACTGGAAGAGTTATTCCCACAATACTGTAGGCAGGCTCTCTGTGCTGCAGCAATCTGAATCACTTAATTCCTGATGATCAGTTTTAGGAGGACTCCCAGTATCAATCAGTACTGAGAGACAACAAACGCTGACACAGTTCAGTATGCAGCCTTCCTAGAAACTGGCCATACCCACATAGTCAGTCTCCAGCAAGTGCCTCAAGACAGGCAAACTAGACTGGATTTATAGTACAACTAAACGCATCTCAGAAGTACGTATCGACTACTGAGAAGTTAAGGATAACACAAGTATAAACTGACTTGGCAGTGAAGGGATACTTGCAAATCATCAGTTTTGGAAAACAAATTGCCATAGGACATTATATTCCTTAACTAAGATTACTTACTGACCCCACCCTTCCCGGAAAGGCAAGCCTTGCATTTACTTTTTTTTCCATATAGCAGTTTCCTAACACAAAGAAACCTTGCATTTAACTACCAGAGAGAATTCATGATCTGCTCAGAGCACTTAAACTGCTTTTTTTTTTGTTGGCATACTGTATCTTTAGTTCTTTTCACGGGAAGTTTCATTCCTTAGAATTCAATTTCCCCTTTTATGCAGAGGTATGGTGCTTGTCTGTCAAATTCTTTCAATCATTTTTCCATTAGTTATTTTCATTACTGAAGTTACTTATTGAGGGCTATAATCCCCCAATGCAGTTACAGTACTTAGGGACCAATCTGCACTCTCAATTCTGGTTTGTGAGCATAGGTGTTTTACATTTATCTTCTACTGAACATAAACTGCATTTACACTTAGACCTAGAAGTATCAACAGAAGCTTTTTTCACATATCTCATCAAATAATGGTAAATACTTTTCAGCTGTGTGCATTTACTTACCCACAGTAGAACAGCACAACACAAACATAAGCTAAGACTCCTTGTACTTTTATTGAGCTTGTTACGACCCTGATGAGCTGTTTTAAGGATAAAAGTTAAACAGTTAAAACATATAGCACACAACTATTATAGAATATTTTAACAGACATTTCTTACTTGGTAAATTCAAGACAAAAGTAGAAACATTTACATTAATAGAACTTATTCTAATACCTCCCTTGGTAGCACTAAGTATTCAAGATTTTGGTTTGAATAAGTATTATAGTAGCACCTAGTTGCAACTTTCCAAAACTACAGTCTGATAAAGTTTCCTTCACCACTGACTTCCAAGTAAAATAACAAGTGAACACCCCCCCACACACACACAAAAGTAAAGGGCTGGAAGCAGACTTAACAATTTTTGAGGAAAATGTCAAGGGATGCTGATGCAGTAAAAGACAATCAGTGTTTTGCACTATGCTAACATTTTGAATACAAAATTGCTTTGTGAACTAGGCATATGAATCCCAAGTTTCAGTAACAAATGATCCTGAAATCTCAGTTTTACTTCGGTATTTCACAGTTAGGGTTCCAAAGTTAGCAAAGCGCTTCAGTTTGTTTAAAACCTATTAGCATCCAGGATATCATATCTGAACACAATTAACTTGAAAAAAGCACTTCAATCAAATTCTCACTGGATGTACTGCTAATAAAAGAAATCATGACTATGATCACAATTATGAGGGTTTTGGTTTTGGTTTTTTAAAATCCTGGATAAAAACTAGGCAAAGCCTGTCAACAATCTTTTTCCCCATCTCTATGGGAGAACATTACATTCAAAAGTTAACTCATATTGATATTCTTCCAGGAAAATTATGAATTAGCATCTTTGCTGGCAAAGCAAGAACACATTCCCAGTATTACGATAACTACTGCTTCTCTACACATGTGTGGCAGCTATCTGCAGAAAACATTCTGCAATAGTTAATTCAGAACAGACAGCATGTGGACACAATTCCAATAATTAAGTGATTCATTTTATAGCAGCATGTCCATGTAACAGGGTCAGCTATTTTAGAATCATGTATTCTACAACAGCTCAGAAGCTCAGTGCTCCATATAAAAGAAAACTTAGTCATTAAACATACCATTACAGGGACAACCACAAGGACTCCTATGGAAAACCTAAAAAAACTAGTACACTACTGCTAACCTTCTGGCAACCAGCTGCTTTGACTATTCCGAGTGAATGAACAGGATAATTGCCAAAAGGAATAAATGTTTAATAAGCACAGATGTAGTTTAATTCCAGTGCTACAACTCAACTGCTTATAAATTCTATAAGATTAATATATTTTCAATTTTCTATGAAAGGCTGATAAACAGTAACACATTCGTGAAGTCATAATTAGTACGTGATATAGGTTATACTGAATGCTAACTCAACCTTGCAGCATCATTTCAGTTACTTAAGATGATCATTTTATCCTCAAAACATCAAAATGAGCCAGCCATCTCACAGGCATATATTCTCAAAGTGAGATCTTATTGACAGAGAACTGATAGGGAAGATACAACTTACTAAAACAGCCAGTGGAAGAGGAATGAAACCCATTCTTCTGGAAACTGAATCACTATAATCTGTATATGCCTAGGAAAAAAAAGAGGAAGAATAATGAACTATTTATGCAAAGGAATGAGCTTATTTTAGCTTGGCACACCCTCTAGATAAGAATCTCTGCTAACAAACACTATACTGCTATAAAGTGTATCTATTCACATTTTGAAATTCAAATGCAGATAGCTGTACTCTCAGACAAAAATATAATACTACCATGACCAGTAAGATTAGCTTCAGTGCTCTAAATCAAGAGCAACTGGAATATAATACAAATCTCTAAGTCGAGAGCAATTAGGACACTGAATCCAAATGGGCTATATTTCATCTGTATATTATTACCAGCTTAGAGACCTTTTTGTATTAATTTGACTTTGATCCTCAAACACTGTACAGAAAAACCCGTAACAGGGATAAAAGAACAATTATCCATCACACTAGCAATTTTAAATCATTCTACAAACATCTATAATTAGCCTCAGGATAACTGTGTTAAAATAATTTTGAAAATATGTTTACATTGGAACTCTTAAAACACAACTACTTTGCATGTCACCTTTCATGCAGTATTGAACGCCATGCCAAGGTTAGTGCCTATATGATGCTACCTCATTTTCCACAGAGGATCCTTACAAAGAGTAATGGATTTTCAGAACTAATAAACCGGTTTTTTTTAATTAACAAATTATTAATAATTAATTATTTGTAATTGAAGGTGTCTAACTTCTTTATGAGGTATAATTACTGCATTCCTAGCAATAGCTATTAAACATGCCCAAGAAAACTACATAAATTCTTATAATAATGTTCATTTAATAGTTAGAGCACTCATCCAAGAGCACTCACTAATAGTTAAGAGACTTATCCAGGAAAGGTGTGCTGTATATAGTCTTCCAGAAAACAGCATTAACAAAAACCACAAGTAGTCTGTGTGTTCTGTAAATACCCATGCCACAACCGTAACATGCATGGTACAAACATCCCTATACCTCTGTGCATGCTGTCTGTGAAAAAATAAATTCCTAATGAATATTGTATTTTGATTCAATACAGTTAAAATAAAGCAAAAAGAACAGTAATTTAAAATTATCTCAAGAACATCTTGTTAAGCTAGCTTACTTCCCATATATCTCAAAAATGTCAAAGTTGTTACAACCATCCCCTGACTATAAATGTATTTGGAAGAGACTTCTCAACAATATATTAAATAAAGCCTGAACTGACATGAACAACTGGATAAATATAAGAACATAAATCACAAGGAAATATTCCTGTTGTCTCATATTAAAAAAAGCAGGGTAGAATTTCAGTGCTGTAGAAGTGTAACAGTTCTGTATGTATTTCTTTAAGTGTTTGTTCCAATCCTCACCCCCCACCCCCACCCCCAATAATTATGTTAGTTAATACAAGAAAATGCCTTTATTTTCAGGCTTACATTTTTCTGTCGACTGCTAACAAGGTCAAATGCAAGACTGGCTCTGTATTCACTGTAGACCTGGAAAAAATCCAGCACATTGGATGTGTGATTAATTTGTTATCACACTTTATAGAAGCAACAGAGATATTAATAAAATATTTCTGTAAAATATTATAAACACTTATGCATAGGCTGAAGGAGTCAAAGGCAGTTTTTCTGAGGTCTAACTGCACACTTCAACAGATGAGCCTGTATTTCTGCAATAAAGTAACTTGCATGTATATACAATAAACAAACAACACTATGCTATGTTTTAGGAATTGAATGAGACTTTATAAAGCATTTAACGAATTTGAGGATCATCAGAAACACAAAGTAAGAGAAATCACATTAACTTTTTCCTACAGTTCATAATTTGTTTTACGCAAATGGTAGCACTGGGATCAAATTAAACAAATGAGAGAGCTTACTAAGCAAGTGATCCCGTGAAAAAAGCAAATTGTATCAGAAGATGAATGAAGCTTTTCTTTTAAGAGTTCTGCATATTGAGACAGAAAAGCACCTATTTTAAGGATAAATGGCAGGGCAACTTGTACTGCAGGTGTTCAAGACTTCTGAAAAAGTCCAACCTAGCAACCATAAATCTTTAGAACTGCATACAAAAAATACGAAGTTTGTTAAATAAACCTTGCAAAATTGTCACTCACTATCCCCATTCTCCAGCTGTTTCAGCACACTGAAGCATGCTATGTTTTTGGCTATCATGACTTCATTATTGCTCTTTTCCACACTCTCTATATGAAAGTAGGGCATGCATAAATGCCTCTGGCATAAGGGAGCTTATTAAGTACATCTATTAAACCTGTTTCTACACTGCACAATGTAGTTACTTTAGAGATGCTGAAAAAGACTGCACTTCCAAGTTCTGATTTCACTTCCTAAAAAGTAGTTTTAATAGTGAAAAAGCACTAAGTCATCTCTTCACAAGTTTATCAAGTGCATTTGAATTCACACAACACACAAGACAAATGGCCAATGCATCATGCTCCAACACACAAAAAGTAACCTCATCCACTACTTTAAAAGAAGGACTGCATAATATATATGGCCTAAGAAATTTCAGGAGTGGGAAACTAACATAACCTACTTCATATTAGTGCTCCAGGGACACTGGAAAAATATATCTCTGATTTCAGATTCCACCTTTAGCACACACAGAACAACAGAGGTTCGGCAGCCTCACAAGATCTGTTTTTCCTAAAGCATGAATTTTAACCTACAATCCATTCTGTTAGGAAAAGGTACAAACTCTGTCTAGACTGTAGAATAAGTAACCTTCTGTCAACTTAACTAGTGATCACTTCACAAAATGATCTGCTAGTTATGTGAATTGTAGTTATTAAGTGAACTGTTACACAACACTTTCAATAATTTATGGATCTGGAACTACTCATTTAGAAGCAAAGGTGTTTGTTCCACATTAGAAAGATCCTCAGAAGTATATCGTATCAGGAAATTACCAAGCTTTCTCAAATGATATCCTATATATAAATAAAACAATTTCTACGTTTTCTGCACTGGAACCAATTTTAGTATTTAAAAAAATATTAGCAAAATAAACTACAACTTAAAATAGCATTCCACATTCCAAACAGGATACCTACATCTGCTGTGATGTCATTGAATTTTGTTATAAAGGCATGTTTCACAATATCCACCGCAATTTCTGAAGCAACCACCATGCAAACATCTGGGAATAACACCCAAAGATGATCTGAAGGTTGGGAAGAAACAAGTTAGGCCATTTAATTTGATGCCAGTGTACAAAACAAAAATTATAACACTTTTGCTCAACGGTGAAAAATCCTCAAGAATCTGAAGAGTCTGTAAACTTTACATCACCATACAGCACGTAGTGTGCAAGTTCTTGCTTATTCCATTGTTGTTCTAGAAACTTATCAGTACTACACAATCACACCACAATTATGATCAGATTCTAAAGCCTTTGCTTAGTAAAGCTTTCTCTCTACTAGGAAGCCAACCTCTGCACATACTAGATAGTAGATGTTCAGTATGTATGAGGAACAGACAGAGCACCTGCGGTTTTAGATGCTTAAGGTAAAATTTAGGTAGACCGGTAACATTCAGGCAAAATATGCCACATAGATCAGGGCTCAAAATTATTAAAACAAAGTTTTAATAGAATAAAAATCAAAAATTTACTCAATATTTATTCAATATGGCATTAAAATCCTAAGTATAATCAATATTCAATTATGAATGGAAATTTTTAGATAACCTTCTAGCAAATTTCAATCTCACTAGCCTCACAAAATAAAATTCTCTAGGGGATCTGTCATGCTCAATGTACTCCAAGGAAAGGGAAGGACTGAGACAAAATCATTCAGGACACTAACTGAAACATAACTATGCATGTTTGTAGCATAACAGCATATCCTTCTAGCAGAAAGTAGAGTCACTCTTACAAGAAAGCCAGAAATACAAAAATGAGAATTTAAGGTATTCGACAAATTAAGATTCCTCTATTAAATGTCCTGGTTACCTTTATCTTTCAGATTGAGGAAAAAGCAAGAGATAATACTTGTTCATAGCACAGAAATTTGTCATTTTGTATTTAGTTCTTCTACTACTTTACTCACCTGGATTCCATGAGAACTGTTCCATATTTCTTAGACATACAATTAGTAGCAGCACATAATTGGTGAACCTCTCCTTTATATCTAGTTAAAAAAAAATAAGCTGTCAACTCCAAAGAAACATTTATTTGCATACACTCATTCTGAGGTTCTACCATTTATTAAGTCTTGGATTAGACAATCTTTTCCACAAATTACTCGATTGGATTCAAGGGGAGGGGATGGAATGCTGGGAATCTCACCACAGACAGGATCTCTGCAGTATGCTGTGGCCTAACTGGACGTCCTGCATCAGCTGCATCAGCTCAGGGTTCCCAGCATCAGAAGGGACTTAAGTTGTGACTTGCTATCACCTTTTCTAATGTATTAATAAAGTAGTCATCTTCCTTGATAAAATCTGTGCATTTCTTGTGGGACTCAAAAAGAACCTGCACCTCCTGGTGCAAAAATGGAGACAATACACCTGTCTGTCATTCCAAGTTAGAAGCAAGGCAAATTTCATGTTCTACAGATCACGGATATCCAAATTGCTACATACTGGGTCCAGTAGTAGGGGAAAAAAAAAAAAAAAAAAAAAAAAGGCGTTAAAAAACAAATATTACACTTTATTTGGAAGGTTCCTACTAGTCTTTCACATCGCCACCTTAAAAGGGAACGGCAGGATACATCAGCTCAGTTATCAAAACCATAAGAACTATAACACAAAAGCAGTCTGACTTGAGATGGAGTCCTATGAATTGCCCTCCCAGACTAGGCAGGGTCTTTTTTTCTATTTGGTGCCCTATCTCCAGAAATGACCCATACAGCTTGCTCCAGGAAGCATTACATCTTTAACTTATTAAAAAAAACTCCATGAAATTGTATTATTGAAAAATGGGGTAAAACCTAAAATGTAGTATCACCACAAATTAGCAAGTCCGAAGAAGTCTTTTTAGAAGACAGAACTATTATGAAAATCTGTGAAGATACTGTTACTGCTTCTTACACCCATTAATCACCAGGATAGTAATTTCTTTCTGGGCAAGTCAGCTCCAAATCCAAAGGGTTCATTTCCTTAAGCACCTCAAATATTCTGTGCGGTTCTATCTACTGGTTTTAGGACACAAGAAATAGAAGTAAGTGTTCAGAAGAACACAAGAGGATCGACCTGGCCAAAAAAACATTTGACTTTGTGTCAGCAGCTTCCATCATCTCTGACTACAGACCAACAACAATGTTCATGGCTGCAATTACTATCTTCTAGTATAACAATACCCCTCATTTCAAAAAAGAGGTTTCAATATACTGGCAAGCCTGAAGGAAGGGAACGAAAAGCAAAGAACAACTCCTCCAGGAGAGGGGAACGTAAAGCACACAAAACTAAAGAAGAATGAGATTGCATGCACACATGTAAAAAGGCACATTTGGGGGTACATAAACTCATCTCAGTATGGGCTGGGGAAGGGTCAGAGGAATCACAAATTTCCAAAAAGAACAAGTGGCATATATATGGGGGAAGAAACAAGGAAATCCTTCAGTAAAATACATTTAAATACCAGAAAAAACAGGACATAGGTGAAGTCCTAACCCTAATTTCTTGGTTTCCTGCCAACAACACTCCAACAAGTCAAGTATGTTCTTCTATGCTTCTGAATTCACCAAATACTGCCCAAATTACCAGAACACAGTATTTTCTGATAAATCTAGTTATGAGATTATCACTTGGTGCTGTCACCAATGGATTAATATGCAGTCTAGCATTCCTTGACCTATATTCTCTACCACAACCATTAGTGACGCAAAAATAATCACTAGTTTTCAGACTTTTGACCGAAGTCTCAAAACCGTTTCATCTTGTATTTCCCACATTGCATACTTCCACACTGCCATGACACACCATTGATCAGCAATGCGTAAGACAACACACAGATCCCATCTTCAGCACTTCAGATCCCAGGGAGGCCTGTACAGATAGAAATTCTGAAGCACGAAGTAAGGACCTTAATTCAGGCCTAAACATTAAAGCATGTCTCAAGCCAATCCTTCAGCCGTTTATTACCTGCTCAGTATATGTTAGCTCACCAGTCCACAGGATTAAATTGGGAAGGGACGTTGTTGGCCTTAAATTTCCTCTTATGCTTTAATAATAAACACTTTCCCCCCACTAATTTCTGAGACTGGATGACAGGCTAACACCTATTCTTCCCCTCCGCTCATTTTTCTTGTTCTCACTGGCCTCCCTTCTAATCTGTTATCTCTGCTGCCACAGCTGTTCAAGGCTGCTCAGAGTGAGAGGAATGAGTGCAGCTGCTCTTCATCCTCATCCTTCTCATCAACTGATTGTCAGAGATGCAAGCAAGGGAGAAAGGGCATTTTACAGCAGCTTCAACAGTAAACCCAAATGATTCAGAAATTCATTTCATTTCTCACACTCATGGACAAGGACAAAAAAGGCTTCAGGATATCCAAAACAACCAAGGGTAATCACTTCTAAATACCAATTAAAATTTCAGAGTACAGAATATGCACCAATAATGTTTCATCATTTATTATGAACTTATTTGATATTGTATTATGTTTAAAAAAAATACATGTACAAGTGAGGGGAATTTCCTGTACCATGTATTGCCACTTCTTAGATGATGTGGTGAACTATAGAGCAAGTGAGGTTACACCCCTAGCATCACACTTATGGACATCATGCTCTTAAAAAAGAATAAAGGGACAGTAAATTACTGTATTTGTGAATCTGGGGAAACAGTGACAAGCCACCAGTGTTAGTGTTCAGTTATAGAAAGCGCAGGTACTGGCAAAAGAAAATGTCTCTATTCTGCTTTAGCATGATGAAGAGTAAAGTGGGAAGAAAAATGTATCTCTGTTCTGCATTCTCCATCATGACAATCCTTAGTAACGTTGATATAATGTAACACATCCCACAAAGTGTTGGTGATAAGCGTATCACAAACTTGTTTTTCAGTTAGAATACAGTATAGCTTTAATAACCCTTTCCATTATAAGACATTTTAAATGGTCTTCAGCTACCTCCACAAGCACATGATTAAGAAGTTTACTTGCTCACTGTTTATGCTCCTAAGTGTTGAAGAACTGACATCTACCCCCAATTCAGACATACTTATCCCCCTGACTGGTCTCCTGTCAGCACATCCATGCATAGACTGCATTCTAATACCATGCTTAAACTCTGCTCTTAATAGGGCTGGCCCCAAAGCCTGGCCACACATACTATATACTCCCCATATACACACTCTTTAGACTATTTTGAAAGGTGACACTGAATTTGCTTGTGCTTCCATGCATCCACTGGTGGTGCAAATGACTATGTATGATTAAATTTTTTCAGTTTCCTTTAAAATACATATTTCAGTATATTGAACAGGGAAAGGAAGAATCAGACACTGGACAGCACTGCATCTAGTATGGCCTAGTGTAATTAATTAGCCAACATCCCAAACAATTGATTACTGAACACATTCAGGAAGGACCTGAACTCTGAAGAACTTTGCAGTGGTGACTAATAAGAAGGGCAGTGAGATCCCAGGAACAGAGATCCTGAAGTGGCACTTCTACTCGCCTGGGTAGAAAATAGTCTTTAGAACACCTAGTTGTTTCCTTTCAGATTCCCTGACACATTATGCAGGAATCTTTAATCAGGAAGGAAAAAATAATTTTAATCATGTTAATCCCACTGTTTATATATTTAGACCAAAAGCTGGTTATAAATCATAGTGTGTAAGAAGTGAAACAAGATCTTTTGGTTTACATGTCAGCAAATCCTAAGTAGCTCTAGTGACAATTCCCTTGTAACAAGCGACCACAGCACAAGAAAAGATCAAAGACTGAACAAGGAGTCATCAAGGAGGCACCGATCTATCTTAAATGTACTCCTGCCCCCAAATCCCTCATCCTTAAAATGAAGAACTGGATTAGAATAATGGTATTAAAAAAACTAAACTAAACCTCTCAAATTCAAGAGACCAAAAGGTAAAAATAAAGGCTGTTCGGTATTTTGATCAAAGCCAAAGAGACTGATAAATTGGGAACAAAGCAGAAAACAGAATTAAGAAAGAAAAAAAAAAAAAGAGTAAAAAAGTATAAAAAAAACCCCCTGAAGTTCCTAAAGCTTCAGAATATGTTAATTTTTTGAGATGAGAGATTTAAAAAACAAGGAATAATCTGTCCAAACAGCCAACTGAAGCAAATAACGTAATGCCCTGCACCTAATGACCTTCTTCATATGAGGTACAATTGTGTTTTGTGAAAAATTTAGTTTAGAGCACAGCTTGAAATTAAAATAAGACATTTAAAAGCATAAAAGAAGGCAGCATGCTGGGCTTTCAACAGTGATGAAGGAGCTTCTCTTTATAATTTTGGTCTCCTCGTTCACTAATCCTGAGCCCTACAAAGTTAGCTTACAGGTATCTACTTCAAAAAGGCAATGTACTGTTTAAATATAGGGAAATACTTCTTCCTGCTATGCCAAATATAAGTTTTTATGTCTTCTGTATAGAAGTCTTTTCCAACAGCCACAGCACTTAGATTGCCTGGGTGTACGTAAATTTCCTAGGACAAGTCAGGTGACAATGCGAAAGTAGTTTTGCCACAGCAGACGAATCAAAGCTGCAGCAGCCAATATGGTTGCAATAGCTGCAGGATAGGTGCAATCTCAAGCAGCTATACAAACCCCAAGATCTTTACTGACCTCCTGCACCTAAAAGATAACAGGTTTGGTTTTATTAGATAACTGTGTAAACGATGTATATCTGATGGTCTGTTCAATTCACAGTTCTTTTAGTCCTGAAGTTTTAATGAATTAGCTGTCACAGCAGAATTTTACATGTCCATATGAAGGTGAGAAGGATCACTGACTCCACTGACACTAAGTCCACAACTGGAAATACTGGGAAAAATAGTACAGCCACACATCAGCTTGACATCCACAAGCCAGTACTGAGCACAATGCCAAGTGAAAATTATTTCACGATTTCCAAATCTAAATTGGTAGTTTGGTGGCACTTCATATCCTTGTGTCTTACTACATAGCATCTTCAATACCACACAGAGCTCTGCAAGGTATTTTAATGCATAATATAGGACATGCTTAGAACGTACAACTGAAACAGTTCATTTCTGTTCTCACACTCTTATTCACAAGATTACTTGCTTTTGAATTCTATTTGTAGCAACTTCTCTTGATCACAATGTCTACTCAAGGTCATTGATATCTTGCTTTTCTGTTAGTTCCTATTTTTCTTTTAACATGTTAGATAAGGGAGTTTAACCTATTCATGACAAGTTCCTCAGATGCCTCTATGAGATTGACCTTATTTTTTTCCTCACACAAATTAGTATATTTAGCTTCTGTGTACTGATCAGTACCTTTTCACTGAATTTAAACTACATTTGAGACAACAGTAATATTTTGAGCAGAGGCCCATATAAGGTGGGGCAAGGGGACATCCATTCAGTCTGTCTAAGTTTAATCAGCTGCTGTTGCCATGTTGCCCTACAGTAGAGACTGCAGACCTGAGAAAAGAGCTGGAAGAAACCGAGAGAAAGGTGGGAAGTATACGGGGGAACCTATATTTAGCGCTTTATTTCAGCAGTTTAGTTGAGTCCAGGCATGCAGTTTAAGCATAGTGTTCTAGGACACACAAGGCACTCCAAAGGCTAACTGGAAGCTCAGTCCACAGGACCAGACTAGCTTCAGTTCCAGGGGTAGGATATAGCATTGGCACAGCATGCCAATGCAAGATGCAGTACTATTTCAGCTGCAGGAAATAAAACATTTAAAGGATAACAAAGTTTTGGAATACATGAACTGAAGCAATACTGATCCATCCTTACTGAAACTGTGATGCAGTAAATCTGCTCAAGTTCAGAAGAGATGAGAATCTCTCCTAAAAACCTGTCTACGTTATTTATCTATAAGAAAAACATTGCTGTTCATAACCATACTGAGAAGTGTTCCAGGAAAAGTTATCTGTTCAAAGGGGATAAATTAGTTTGTTTTGTGCACTCTTCTATATGTGTACTCACTTGCTTCCATCCCCATATGGTATAATGCATGTCATCACTTTTTCTATCAAGTGATAAAGGGAGACCTGATATTTCTATTACAGGTCTTCAATGATAATGTCTAGCAATAAAATAATGATATACATTTCTTCGAGCATACTATTGCAGGTGCTTTTTATGGAGGAAATTACTAGCCATTTCTAATAGCAGTCCCTCGTTTATTTCAACATTTAAATCAAGAAAGAGGTCTTGCCTTTCAGTAGGAGAGCTAGGTGCCTACTTGTAAGTATTTTCTGTGAATATTGTGATTAATGAGAGAAAATTTAAGAAAACTCATTTATGTTTTCTGTCATATTTTAGTAAACATCACTTTTAAATGTTCTCAACTGTGAAGTTAAATCCATTTAATTTTAAAACCATAAATACATACTATTAGCACAGAATTAACTAACCTTATCAACCCAGCTGGGAAGATTATTTTTGGGGGGGTTTAAGAACTTCTATGAGGTAGATTAAAATTTAGTGCTAATTTTCCTGTTATGTGATATATTTAAGATTTTATGTAAATAGTCTTTCATCCAAAGCATCACAAAACAATTGCCATTCAACATTTGCATGTAATACCAATGTAGTTTGGAGATGAATTGGACAAAAATCATACAATAGCCACAATTCAAAACCTGAAGCAAGCCTGCTGAAAGTTTAACTCTTGATAAAAAAATCCAATTAATCTGTTTTCAAATAAACAGCTACTTTTTTTTTTTTTTTTTTTTTAGCCTATTGAACATTTGAGTTCTCTGGTTAAAAAACTAGGAGTTGGAAAGAAAAACAGTGTTCCTGAAAGTGGAATCCCAGTTTCATGCTGCTGAACCAAACCGTTATAAGGGAGATGAGGAATTCAAGTCAGAATGCTCACATTCACCAAGGTAAAGCTGTTTTAACAGTAATATTAAATAAATGAATGAATGAAAAAAAAAAAAAATCAGCCTCTCACTTCATCACTTCACATTTTCTCCTGATTAGCACAGCTATACATACCGCTATTTGACATTTGAAAAAGATTGTTCTTCTCAAACTTCTTGAAAACACTTCCTTTTATTTCAACGAACTGTAATTTTTAAAAACAGTTAGTTAGTTTTTATTGATAAAGGACTGATATAAACAAATCAGATAATCAAATAATATGCAAATAGACATATGATACACAAAGATGAAGGACGCTGAAAACAATTAAGGTACCTATATAACAAAGCTACATACTTACATTATTGGACATCATGATGGTAAGCAGTGATTTATTGTGGGAGTTGAAGGCCACATTAAGTGTTGTTGCTTGAACCATTATAAGAATAGCATGCAGGACTAGATAGCAGGGTTAAGGAAGCATATTTGGAAATAGTTTTTCTGCACAACAGTACTGAGCAGCACTTAAACTCAAATTTCTATTTTGTTTCCAAAATTTAACAAAAAAAGTTCTATCTCCCTGTCAACTAGATTTACACCAAGACAATACTTAAACTTATGTAACATACAGTGCTTTGTAGCATGTAATAATTACGCTAATTTTTCTTGTTCTAAAAGAGCCCAATGACATTAGCCAGGACAAACAGCAATACAACCTGAAGGAAAAAAAATTCAGAATTAGACTAAAGATTTCAGAGAAAACAGGGTAAAGTACAAGAATTCTAAATTCATCACCATCTAAATGCATCGCGTCTATCAGACTACGTATCTCTCTACAGATCATTTTCATCAGTTCACTGTAAGGTTACTTCACACTAAACTCATGTGCATCCTGAATATACATGAGTTTACCCCTTCAAGAAAATGTTTTCAAGCTAGGTGTTTGTAACATTCCACTAAATATCAAAACCCCATGTCTTCAAGACCCTATGACCCAAAATGCTCAAATACAAATCAGAAATGAAAGTTTCCATGAACTATCCAATTACTGGTTTTCATTTTACTACACCTTAGGTATTTAAAAAGCTGTCTACCACCACAGTGGTATACCATTATTAAAGTTTTTTCTAAAAGCAGATTAAAAGGTTTTTTTCAAAGCAGGTTAAAAGTTTTTTTTCATTCATTTTAAAAACCTGTAGTACTGGCAATCTTCCTTTGAAAGTAAAGGAACACTGATTTAGGAATACTATCAATTTTTCAAATATATTAAAATAAAATAATGCAGAGCAATTACTATGTAATTTAATTTAGAAAATTTTGCAATTTATTGAAGAAAAAGGATACAGACATACAGCACTGCCATGAAGAAGTGAGGAATCACACCTATGTGAGCTCTTTTTCTTTCCTTAGGTTCTGTAGCTGTCCAATAAAGAGCATCCAAAATATCTTGCCCAAATGAAGAAAACAGACGATCAGCCACCTAAATATGAAGAACTTTTTACTGACTTAAAGCAATATTTTTCTCTCCAACACTTGAATATGCCACCGTAAGTACAGCTCAACATAAAAGAACGTTTCACCTATTTATCACTTTTCATCTCTGTTCATTCCATTTCCACTCCGGATTTCACAGTGATACTGTTCCTTCTGTATACTCAGCAGCTTACTTTCCTTCTCAAATTTACTATCCCCTTTTCAACAGTATTTACAATATATAACCGTGTAGTGTTATCTTAAATGTGTTCTTGGAAGACATCCAAGTACAGTTCAAACTTCAGCCTTTGATAAAGCAACACGTATGTTGCATCAAACTATATTCAATGTTTTTTCCCCATCCCTCTGGGTTTAATAGGGGGAAAAAAAATAATGAAAGTGAATTTCAAATGTGTGAAAGGAACATCATCAGCTTACAGGTACCAAAAGGACTGAAATTAAGATTTGGCTGTACTGTTTCCTTACATCTTGGAATCAAGTATATACTAAATACAAATCTCTGCATAAAGCAGAATTCAGAATTAAAAGTACTGTAAGGCAACAGCAAGTGATCAAAAGGGATTAGAAATTCTGCCAAAAAGGGAAAATTAGTTTGAAAAAACTACAAACACCTGAAGTGTAACCCAAAGAATATATGCACGAGTAGGACACAAAACTAGCAGTAATTCTGAAGACACGAAAACCATGGACGGCAATCTGAGTTTGTAATTCAATACCACAGCAAGAACGTCACATGGAGTTCCACCAGTTCTCAACACTTTATCATCAGCAAGCATGTAAAACTGAAGATCATTACAAGGAAAGACTTTTTTTTCTGCTTATACACTACAGTTCAATAATTTTAAAACTAAGCGGCACAGGACAACAGAAATAGCACTTCAAAAATTATATTTGGTATCACAAGGCACATGTCTGGCTAAAGAAAAAAAGAGATACCTTTCACTGCTTACTAACTCAACCAAACGGAAATACTTGAATATGAAAAACTGATTATCTCTACTTAATAAAGACAATTGATATTTTCTATTACTGTCTTTCTGTAAGACAACAATTTTGAACATGTTAAAGCAACACACAGCAATATAGAACTAGGTGCACAACGTACCTGCAAATATTGAACCATACTTATGAACTAGAAAATAAGTTCTTGGGACAACATAAGTAAACCTAGATTTGGGATAATTTCCTGACTTTGTTAATTAAGAGTTCTAAAGGTAAATATACTGAAGGGAGAGAAGTCATACACTTTAACTTATTCAAGCCAACATTTAATGAAGTTTCCTAAAATACGAAGGCTGAATTAAAACAAATTTTTACTGGATGTCTCAAGTAAACTGTACTACATGCTACTCTTTAAGCATCACCTATGAAATAAAATGAACAAACCCATATGCTGATGAATTATCACAGATCTGAAGTTCAAAACCCCGTCAGTTTGAGAGATATTTACAGTGGTATTGTTTTCGGCTTTTAAATTTTGCAAATTATGGTGGTCTGCATTATTTGGTTCCTGCTCATTGTGATGACCCATTGAGTAATTACACCTGGTGTAGTAACACCAACTACAGAACATTTAGAGTTTGGTAAGTTTTTGTTCACAATATTGTGAGGGTTTTAATACATAAAATGGTGGCTTTGCTTTCCTTTTATGTAAGCAGTCCTTGTTTCTTAGCTGACAGTATAGAAAATATTAAAACCCACCACACAATATTGTTGTTTGCTTTTCCAAATATGACTTACCTAAACCCTACATGCCGGCTCCAGGCTCCAGCAGAATTCCATGGTGAGTGCTGTCACCAGCATAACGCACACTGGGGCTTCACAAGGAGCAGGAGCCGGTGGGTCTGAATCTAAAAAAGAAAAGTGTCATTTAAGCCAAATGAGCCGAATGCTCCCCTTAGGCTGTCTATCTGGAGCATTCAGCACATAATTTTAAGATTTTGCATTCCTCCTATCTGTCCAGGACAATATTCCCTGGACTTACCAACAGCCGAAAACATTAGGACATTGTAAACATCTCTGTTGCTCAGTGATTTAACTAAATTAAAAAGATCTTCCTATTTTGAAAACTTGTGAAAATATAAAGTTTATTACTTTTTTTAAAGTATATTTAACAGTTCCTTAAAAAGCATTGCTTGCAGTAGTAGCAATGACTTATAACAAAATTCACCGAAGTAGTCTAAGCAAGCCAATATTCAAACTCTTGAAAGCTAACTATCAACCAGGTCTTTCAGTGGGATTCCATGACATTTTCTGCCAATACTGTGGCTGCAACCTAGCACAGCAAAAACGCCCCTTAAAGAACATGCCCTCTGCTTGGCACATTGGGTTTCATGAGACACCATGGAAATGAAACACTGTCTTCAACTTCAATGTCTAGGGCAATTTTTCTAATAACTATGAGTGGTAACAGACTTCCCCCTTTCCTAAAAAAAAACCAAACTCAGGCAGCACTTCTTAGTTGAGACACACACTTTTGGTTCTGCCAAACATAGCATAGAAACTCAGCTCTTCTCTTCATTCAAAATGGAATGGCATATGGCTTCCAATTCTCTGCAAACACTGCCGTCTCTCTTCAAATTAAGTGGTAAGCACATAGTGCTGTACTTTCTCAGCTTTAAGAGAAGTGACTTAAAGTTGTCTTGAAATAAAGAGAAATCACTATTTTGAGCACACAGATTTATTAAGTGATAATCTCTCACAGATTACAGAACTATATACGGATGACTATTTCCCAACACAACTAAAATGCACATAGTAATGCAGTGCCAATTTAATATTTGTACATGTTTTTCAGAGAATCTAAATTCAAAGGAAACAAAACCCTATGAATAAACAACTGAGGTGGCTTGTATGGTATTTATTTCACTTAGCATAATGAAGTGTGTTCCTTATGCAATATTTTCATATTTTATGAGGAAAGAAAAATGTCTTTAGACAAAATATTCAGATTTTGCACAAAGTGTAGCCCCATTTTAGCAGTCTTCAAAGTTGACAGATGTTCAAACAAGTGTTAATAGGTTATTCAGGGACCCCAGAATCCTAAGTATAATAACTCTTGTGTACAAAGCTCTGACTGAGCCCTTTCGAGAGGTTGTATTCCTAATAGGTCCTATATTTGCAGGACGGAGATAAGATTGTAGCTATGAAAACATTATTTACTATGTGAATCATTGATCATAGAAGTGCAGTTAAAAATCTCATGCTTTGCATTAATAACAAAACAGGAACAATTTTTGTGCCCAGAATTTCTCTTTATCTTACCTCTCAAAACAGAATTTCCTTTTCTTGTTTCACTATATTCATTCAACTTAATGTTTATATACTCTAGCTTTTGTCTGCTAGCCAGGACTGAGAAAGATTAAGCAGTAACGTGTCCTTGCACACAATGAAAGCTATACTTCCATAATGAAGAATTAAAACGCAAATTCTACGTCTTCTACCATATTCCTTCTCTGCTCGCTCTCAGGATCTTACAACTATTTCAAATCAATAGTTTCTACTTTTCTTGAGTTCAAAACCTCATTCATTCCACTTCTTGCATTTCAGTTTAAGATATTTCTTCTTCCATTTCCAGTTCTCAATTTTCATTCAACTAAACTGATAAATAAGCTCCAGGAACTAGGCAATATGAAACAGTATCTACAAAACTTATTTTTCACAAACTTGTCCGTTTCACTGCATTTAGGCTTATTATCATGGGTGTGTGCACATTTGTGAGAATACAAGACGTGCCATATTCTAAGTACAAATACTGTAATAAAACAATATTTTATAGTCTGAAAAAAGCATGCTTGACATTCTGATGCCAACATTCTTACCTCAAGCATGTTATAGATGATGTAGAGCTTTATGACAGACTGTCCCCTTATCAGATGATACATCATAGAGTAGTCAACATAGTGCATCATGAAGTAGCAGATGACCAATATAACTCCTTTGAGAATGTCACATACCTGAGCAGGTTGTAGCAAACGTCTATCACTGAAATACAAAGGGCAAAAAGTTCCACTAAATGTCATATACCCACAAAACGCAAATGTTACCAAGTCAATAGGAATTTACAGAAGCTGTGAATCAAGGATATATTTTAATGTAGTTTATTACTGTCCCTTTCCCTGCCCCTCACTCCAACATGTAACAAACACCATGACCATGATACACATTTATAGATGACACTCCTGAACAGGATCACATTCTCTTATCTGCCACATCCCACTCGTTAAGAAGTTTCCGCATGCATACCCTTTGGTTTTTAATTTACCTTCCCTCTTCCAGCCAGTTCTACTTATTGTTTTGACTTCCTCAGTTACAGAAATTGTATTTGCTATAACCAAAAGAAAAAGAAATGAAGCAGTCATCTTCAATTTCAGTATAATGAACCAGATGCTGAGGAACAAGTTCTAAACACAATTCCATATCTTCTTTTAGCTCTAAGCTCTGCAGCAGTAAATGCAAACAATTTGACATCAGAGCTTGAGGTTGATCTTGAACCAATATAGTTTTCTATCTATAGTCCCACAAGTAACCCAGAAGACTAGACGAATCATTACACAATTTCATCCTATAAGCTAAAACTACAGGAAGAAAATAGCTTTATCTCAATTGCCACATAAGCATAATGAAATTGCAAGACAGTCTTAACTTGTCTTACGTAGTTCAGTATTAATAGGATGCAAAGCATTTAAAAAGCCTTTAAGTTAAATCAAAAGGTTATTTGAGAATTAAATATAAAAAAATAGAGAAATAATTTCCTATTACGTGTATTTATTTTTAATATACACTGAAAGGCTTTTGCAGAAGTTAACATTTCACAAAAGTCAGAACCAAGTAGCAGAATGCAAGTTATGGATTTTTGTTTTCTGTATTCTTAAATAACTACGTTATCCAGAGATTAGACAATGCTCCCATAAACTGGTAACACATGTAGAGAAAAATTAGAGTAAGTTGATAAAAATTCATGCTATTTTTAAAAAACATCTGAACAGTTACTTAATGACCTCTGGGAATCAAGACATTCTACAGACCCCTGGAGACAAGCCAAAAATCCCATCTACCTGACTCATTCTATTTAAATACAACATCAGAGCTAGAGTGTTATACTTCAGGTTTCTTTGTTGTCTTCCATTCAAAAGAAAAAAGCACTGAAGACAGCATTCATGCATTATAACACTCACGGAACCACACACTGTCATTCTACAACGGACAAATAGATCATGCTCATTTTAGGAGTAGCAACGAGAAAGTTTCCAGAACTCTCAGCTTTACAGTATTACACTTTGAGCAGAGAGCAACTGCTCCTTTTATTATATACTTTTTACTGCATAATCTGTATTAAAATTCATTATATTCTGAATAATAGAATTCAACCTGGTCCAGCACACCAGAACTACTTACAGTGGCTTTCTCTCCCTAAGAGACATTTTCTTGCTTTCAAGAGTCATCCAGTAACAGTATCCACACCACATTTTATTTCAGACTAAGTCTTTGACAAAAAGCCTCAGTGAATTTTCTTCCTTTCCCCCCCGAATTGAGTTTTAACTGAAACACCCATTTAAAAACTTAAAGAAAACAGAAAGTGTCCATTTTCCAGCACATACAGTATTTGCCTGCTGCTTAAAGAACCTATATCTATGCCCTTGCATGACACACAAAAAAAATGCACCCTCTCCAACCTGCAAAATCACATTTTGCAAGTTTATTGCCCTATTTAACTACATCCGACTTAAAAGATTATACTTATTTAAATATATTACTATATCTTGAAACATCTATAGGATTTAAGCAAGCCCATAATTATGATTACCACTCATATGCTGAGTAACACAGTATGTTCCTTTTTCTCCAACCTACTTCAATTTTGGAAGTGTACCCAGAGTCATTTCAGTACAAGTCTCCCAGCCAACACTGATACTCCACAATACAGACTGGGATAAAGCGGTAGAGGTATTATTACTCCACAACAGTAATACCAGGTCTTAGCATTTGAAAAAGAGAATCAGAATTTGTTACTCAGATATTAGCATCTTCATTCTTCCAGCCAACACCTACCTTATCATTAGAGAAGTAATGAGTACATGGTAGAGAAAATCTGACTAGCAAATGAGGCACCCACTTCAAAAGTCTACGTTTTACAAGTTTGGCAAGGTAACAATTTTTACAATGGGATGGTCTCTTCTTGAAATGCACTAGTAAGCAGAACCTGTTTATGAAGTTTCTGAAGCAGCCCAGAAAGATTCTCACAGCAAAATGCTTTGATGTCCACAAATCAATACAGACTGAAAATTATCATGTTAAAGGTTTTCTGGCTTACAAATAACATCAAAGATGCTCAACTACCAGTACAGTCACAAGTCACAGTTATTCTGTACTGTTAACCCTATCACTCTTCTGCCTGTGTTGATTTTCATCAGTATGACTACACTCGAGTAAAACCAACTCAGGGAAGCCGATGTAAAAGCAGATAGCAACCATCACAGGGGAATACAAACTCTAAAACCAGACTACATCAATCAAGAGCACAAATGGTCTTCTAAAGGAGGTCTCAACTCTGAAAACTAACTCGAGAAAATAATTCCATATAAAGGTGCATCCAAACTTGCACACAGCATCCTATACACTGGAAAGATGAAGATACTCTGAGAACGTGCTGTGTACAGAAAAAACTATCACTACGATTCAATTTGAAGGCTGCCCAAAAGGGTCAGATCAACTACACTTGATTGCTGTGCCCCACAGGAATTAAGCTTTTGTAGAACAGAGTACATTAAAATAATGTTTTTGGAGAATTTTACCTCTCAAAGTGACTTGGATTTAGTTTCTCAGTAGTTTGTATATCTAGAAAAAACTGCAGCAAACACCGCACTTCTTTCTGACGTTTAAACTAAAAATACACTCTATTCATGTTCAAAGTTGTGCAATAACTTCTTGTGCTTCTCATCCACACGAGAAGCAGAACCAACAGTAGTGCTGTGACTACTTCTTCAAAACACATCTTTAAAAGAAGTCACAAAAATATCCTCAGTTTCAGTTTACTCAGTTTGATGACAGAAGAGCTGTCAACATCTCTAACCCCTGGCCAGTACAAGGGATTATTGCAAAGGCTGAGTGCAGAAAACTGCTTTTTAGAAAGTGAAAAGAGTAAGAAGATCCTGGCATTTAAAACATATTCCGGTGTTCTTTCATTGTACACTAAGACAGACCCCTTCATATTGACTAGGCAAGTAATCCATGGTCTACAACTAACATGTTTCTGATTGAGAAAAAACATGACTATTGCATATATCCACAAAAGCACTTTTATTGCAGCTGAATCTTCTTCCGCTCTGGCTAATAACATTTACAAAAGGATACTGAGGTGTGGCTCTGCATATAATATGGGATAGGGATAATTATTTCCTACAAAGACAAGGAAATCAAGTAAATGGATTAAGTCTAATGATTGTCACCTTTTGGCAAATACACAGAACTGCCTGCAAAGCCCGCAGTTATGAAATGATGTGGTCACTGTTTAGAGAGAACTGAACATTGCAGTTTTAGTATATGATCAGACTTACATTGGTTCAATATATATTTGTCACAAATCATTCCTATCCTTCACATTAAACTGTTTAATACATGCAAACACACAGAAGCTGATGTGATTTTACTCCTGTCATAAAAAGTCTTAGCCCATGCATTATACACGTTACATTTTCTGCATTCATTTTTCTCAATATGTGTTTCTACTTATTGTCTCCAGTAACTACCCGGTGACAACACTGGAAAGTACTTTCAGAACAATCCTGAACACTAACTAATCAGACCTCGTGATTAATATCCCATACAGACTCATCTGCACCATGAGTACTACAGAATCTCTAAAAAACAAAGAAAAAAGCCAGTATCAGCTATGACAACTATACAAAGGACAAGAAACAAACAAGAAATACATAGCATAGTGCTGAGAACACTTTCAATACCTCATTTGAGAGTAGGGAGCCAAGAGGTAAGAACTAGACAATACTGAGCTACTGTAAACTCTAGAAACCGTTGAACAGAGATACGAGAAGTTGAAACAGCTTGGCTCATTTCAAAGGACTTTGTATTTTTTCAGTTGTGCACGAAGTGTGACAAAATACAGAGGGAAAGTTCACATGAAAATTAGTTATGGGTTTTTTTTCTCACTCATGAGAAAAGGAGAACAATAAATAAAGAACATAAAAACTATGTTATTTTATATTTTATCATTCCAGTTACAAAACAGCAAGCAGTAGAATCTTTCTATAGAAATCAGTTGGTCTTTTCCTTCAAAGCTATCCCAGGCATACAGTGATGCTGCAGAAGTGAATTAAATATTAACACTTTCCCAGCTTCACTGAACTCTGCTTTTAAAAGGTAGTATCATGAGAGCCTTTGCCCATGATGCAGTTCCTCTAATACTACTTCAGGATCATCTTTGTATAACAGGTCAGCTATTTCTGGGTCCTTTGGCACCCCTTTGCGCATGATGAACAGTATTGCAAACTAGTTCGCAATTCCAATTTCCAATCAATTTCTTCCTTCATCGACAATGTAGTTTGTAGACAGCATTCAGCACCCAGGTAACTGTGGCACAAAGCATGCTCTGTGCCTCAGATTCCTTACAGCAGCATTGTCCTGTGCTCTCATCCTGTGCTTCTGGGGAAAAGGAGGCTGAGGGGAGACCTTATCGCACTCTACAACTACCTGAAAGTAGGTTGTAGTGAGATGGGTACTGGACTCTTCTATCAAGTAACTAGTGACAGGATGAGAGGAAATGGCCTCAAGTTGCACCAGAGGAGGTTTAGATTGGATATTACAAAAAATTTCTTCACTGAAAGGGTTGTCAGACATTGGAACAGGCTGCCCAGGGAAGTGGTGGAGTCACCATCCCTGGAGGTGTTCAAAAAATGCATAGACATGGCACTTCAAGACATGGTTTAGTGGGCATCGTGGTGTTGGGTTGATGGTTGGACTCCATGATCTTAAAGGTTTTTCGAACCTAAACGATTCTATGATATCCTACTGGATTCCAGAAATAATGTTACATGAACTGTTTCACAATTTGGCTGATTACACAGCTGAATATAATTACAACTTTCACATCTCAAACCAGTAAATACATGGATTCAGGGCATTTGGTCCTTCAAATGCGCCTTATTAAGATACACGATTTCTGTCTTTTCACGTAAGTATTTCTGCCATTATTCCATTATTACTTCTAACATTTTTGCTCTAACTCATGCTCTCCAAGATGCTCTTTACAGAATTTTACAAGTGGTTTCATTATGCTAAGCCTCAAGTTCCCACGTTTAGCTGTACAGACTAGACTACCAAGGAATCAAATTTTTAAATTAAAACTTCTTCAAATATCAAAGTACCTTAGCAGTAAAGAGTAGGGCTTAGTCATTCTTTCTATTATCCGCTATGTATCTTGTATTGCTTTAGCATTACTACCGCTGAATACACCAAGCTGTTTAAACATGAGATGATCCTTCAATCTGCATGAATTCAGAGTGAAAAATCCAAGCATTCCTCTACAGATAAACTCTCTCACACTGTAACACTAACTAGAAAATTAAGACAACACAAAAAACACACGCAGGGCCTTCAATATTCTACAGCATATACTTAACAAGATGTTCAAACTCCTCAGCCTTTGGGTACATTTACCATTACGTCTACTAATTGACAGAAAATCTCCACTGAAACAAACCCTTATGTCTCCAAATAATGTAATTATACAACTGCATGCTTAAGGGGATATACAAGCTTATTATTCATTTTAACATAAGAAAGTGATGTGCAAGCCTTACTACTATACCTCCCTATTCCACCACAGCATGATTCTGTTTCAGCCCAGTCAATTACCAAAAGCAGCAGCATGCCAAGCTCAATGCTTATCATACAGTGTTTGAGGCAGTCAAAAGTGAAACTACAGCAGAATTTATACAATGCGCTGACTGATATCAACCAAGACCTAGGAACTCAGAAAACTGGTCTGTTACAGAAAAAACATTACTTTTTTCAACACAATTCATAAGCTCAAGGTTTACTGTTCATGCTTCAAACTTTTCAGTTTATGGTTTGTCCACCTTGATGCACATTTAGAAAGTGTAAAGCCAAATCTTTCCTCTGTTTAGAAAACCACTGGATCTGTGTATGTCTTCCCCCTTTAGAAAGTTAAAACGAAGAAACTTCCCTTATAAACAGTTAGGAAGAAATACTTTGCTGTTCCATAAAATTAAATTAAAATACAACAAATTAGAATATTCTGGTTACCCACAATTTGTTCTATACATTTTAGGAACTACAACAAAAAAAACCAAAACCCTATTATTTTTCATGATTACTTGTGACATTTGTAAGAAAATCCACTCGAAGTGTTACAAAATTAAGAGTCAAACTTATTTCAAGATATACATAAAACAGCTACCCAGTGAAGAAAAATTCGATGTGAAAACCACTGCTCATCATAAGCAGTCTCCTTAAACAAGTTTAAGGGACTAGCTACCTGACTGCCATTTTCAAGGTATGTCTATTTGATACCATACTCAAAAGGCCATGATCCACATTTCATACAGTAATAAGGGTTTTGTCTCCATCTACTGGTTGAAAAATATTAGGTTCAATCATTCGTAAGGGCTATGATCATACAAAAGGTCATACTACCGATAAATAATGTTTGTGACTGTTTCAACCAAACAGCATGTTGGATTCCACAGTATTTTTCCTTTAAGTTATTAAAGAAGCAAAACAGCTCAAGGCTTTCAGTGTATTGGCATCTACTCCACCAATCCCTTTTTAGTTCCAACAGCTGTACAATTAAAGTTACTTGGCATTAAGCAGAGCATTATTAAAAATAAATCACAGTTTACTGGTATTTGGCTTTAATACGTTATAAATCATAAGTACCTAATGCAGAGGTTTGCTTAAGTGACTGACTGCCAAAAAACCCAAGATTTGGTGTTTAGTGTTTTAATACACCTTGCTTATTGAATTTAAAGTGATTAAACCATTTGAAACATAAAACGCACCCCAGGACAAACAGGAATTTGTTCTTACTGTATGAAAAAAAAGTCTAAATAATCTCACTACAATTGTCTATGATATGCTTTTCAGCAACTGTCATGGCTAAATGAACAATGTTTCCACTATATTGTATAGAAAGTAATTTGTAGGCAAGTATACTTGTGTGAGTACTTATTTACTTTAGGATCCCATCCATAAACACTCTGCACACATTATTTTAAACTTAGCTCTGCACAGACTGTCATATGCTATCATACAATTTCTTTGTCTTTCAGGCTTTCTGGTGCTCTTCAGTTCTTCACTAGTCTGATTACATACAGTTTTCCAGCCACCTTGCAGAGTTGTTTGGGTTTTGATTTATTTTTTTTAAACCAACAGGAATTGAATACATTTTTCTTGTTTGATTTTACAGTTTACTGCATTTTTAATTGGTTCCTTTAGTATAGTCTCATCCAAATAATTCAGATTAAACAATTACTCCTTCATAGTTAGCACAGACAAAATTTCCAATACTGATGTCACAGATACAGTAATCTAAAGATACAAATACACTATAATTGCAATAATGTTTTAGATGGATATTTTAATCTCAATAATGAACTTAACTCCCTGCATACATATACATTTATAAACTCTTAAGATAACAGTATTATTTCTATAAACATTACTGTACTTCACACTATTAAAAAAACCTTTTCATTTATATAGGTTTATTATTCAGCTAATAATGTACTGAAGAAGTATTTTAGCATTGAGGTTACAAGTTTGAATAAGTGTTCTACAGCAAACCTTTTCTAACTGTATTATTTATTCAATATTAACACCTTAAAATAGTTAAACAACCACTGAGGTTTATATTAATAATGTATTTCAGTTATTGAAATGGTGGTCTAGTTAAAGTTTTGTTTAGATATCTTTTCTTTCTCCATTTTTACATCACAGATACTTGTATGGAAACTGAACTGTGGGATTTTGTTTTACATGTAGATATTTAGTCTTCATCAAATTTTTATCCTTCAATGTATCCTTCATTAATGAACCGTGGTATCATAAGTTTCTAATCTTATATGAAGCATTAACAAGAATGATCAGATTAACACATAAGGAGATACTTTGCTGTTAGCATACTAAGTAAAGATGTCAGAGAAAATAAAACCCAAGCAAGTTTGTCTGAAGGGCATACTGCCCCATACAACTACACACTAAGAATTTTCAAAATGCGCAAAGTGATCTATTGGAATTATTTTCCTACAATTATGCTCAAGTTTGGAATTAAGTTTGGCTTCAGGAACAAAAGCTGTTTTGATCAAATCTAATATCCAGTTTGAGACTTTAAAAAGAGATACAGTTTACAGTATGTGGGACTTCACTGTTGTAAAATTGTGAGATATACAGAGTAAGTTCTGATAAAAATATGTCCCAAATGAAGAATTCTAAGATACAGAGAGCTGAGTTTGTCAAGATTAGATGGCATTTCATTTCTCAAACAATAAAAAGCCTCTACATGCACACAACACAGCACGAGACCATGCTAAGAATGAAACGAAACCAACCTTGCTGTTAGGCCTCGATGAGAGCTGTCTCAAAATAAATAAAAAAAAAAATAAGGTTTCAAATAAGTGACAACTAGAATTAGCTTTCATTGAGCTTTTTTTTTTAATAATAGAATCAACTGTAACTGAAGTCAGTAAACAAGCATATGCTAAAGTGCTGTATTTTATTATGCAGAGAATCAACTTCCAAGTCTAACACTAAAATACCTGGCAACGAACTTTCAGAACTCCCCAAAATTTACGTTAAGCATTAAAACAAAAAAAACACCTGCTTGAAGTACACACAAAAATACAGCTATGAACCTCATTGAAGTGTTACTTAGAAGAAATGTAAAAAAGCTTAAGGCACTATAAACTAAGTACAGCAGGGGCTAGTTTTTCCAAGATATCCTATTTTAAATTGGGCCAAACTGGTCCACAGGCACTCTATCTACAAAATCACAAAAATCTAAAAGATCGCAACCTTTTTCCACAGTGATGTGAAGTTACATATGAAAATATACCTACCATAAACGGCGTTGAGTCAATTTCATGTGTTGGTTATTAAAACTAAGTGTTGGTTCTCCTTTGAAGTATGTTAGTTAATTTAGCTATACTATTCATTTGTAATCAGTCTTTTTACTGATTACATGTAGATGTGTGAATTTGGCTGACAGCATAGAAGGAAAAAGAAAAATCAGGATTTACTCACCAAGGAGGAATCCCTGTGACACCACATTCCATCCTATAAAGGAAGTGAAAGTGCTCTTCCCTTCCGTCTGATTTACAAGAAAGAAAGAAAGAGAAGGTTGTAACGTTGCTACGCTATGCACTGTTATGGAGAGGAGAAAGGAGTACTTGATCTGAGAGTTTACGACAAAAATACTGAACGCACCTGCCTTTTTTTTGGTTGGTAGAAAGCCACACGTTTTGGCGGACAGGTGCACTACTTTCTCAATGAACTTAACCAGACAATAGGAAGTTTATGTATTTAACAGCTATAGTCCTTAGCAAAAAAAAAAAAAAAAAAAATTAGGCTTGGGGGTAAGTGTGCAACAGAGGTTCAAATTTATTTAATAACCTGATAATATAAACAAAGGAATAATGTCCGTAATAAGAATGTCAGTATATTTGTTTGGTTTCTTTGTTGTTTTTTTTTCCCCCAAGATGTTTTCTTTCTACAGTTTCTTTCTTGAAGTAACGCTGTTCTATTTATTTCCTACTGGAAAGCATAAATCTTATGATTTCACAAGAGGGCAATGGGAATTTTAAGAGGTACATATAATACAACTGAAGTTAATGGTGTTATTGCTGACAGGACCTAAATTCACTCATTTCAGGGAGAAGAGAGTGGAATACAAGAAAAACACAGAACACATTTATAATCTGTATCTATTTCCACATGGAAGAAGTGTAAAGATCTTGTCAATCCATCTCCACATATACAAAAATTCATAATCTACTTCTGCATTTTCTTGAGAAAACTAGAATTTGGAGAAAAAAAAGAAGTCTCACTTTCTGTAACAAGTCCTTAAATGCTTTATGGACAAGATGCAAAATGCCTTTGAGAGTAATTAAATTGGGAGTCCCATCGGAGCTTCAGTATGATACACAATTTTAGCTTTCATATCAGTGTTTTTCAAATAATACAGAAGAGCTTTTCCACATTCCCACATGAGTTTTTATTGGTACACAACATATTTTCAAGAAAAACAAAAAGTTAGCTCTATAAAAGTGTTCCAAAACAAGCAGAGATATTGAGCTGACCAGAATCTCTGGGTCTGAGGTATTAATTTAAAAAAATGTCTCAATTGTAAAAGGAAACCACAGGTAGAATTAATTTTAGGAACCTATCATCAAGGACTGTAATTCTGAAAAGAACTCCACTTCTCTGTCTACCTTAGATTTGGTGTCCAGCAAAGTATGTGCTTTTACGTTGTCAAACAATATTTTATTAAAATGAGAGTAGTTGACAAGATTTGAAGAGAATAATTTAAGAAACTTCTTTCTATGACTTGGAAGAAAATACAGCAGAGCTAATTTTTTTTTGTTGTTGTTATTTCAGCAGATGCAATTTATTTTTGTGAAGTGTTTGTTGATTTTAAGACCACCCTGCTATTTACAAAGCACAGCAGTAATGAAGTTGCACCGGCCAAAATCACCACAATCTGATGATTCAGCCTCTGCCAGTTTGACCACAGCCATTAACCAGCAGTTTAGTTTATTTAATGACAGAATCTTAGATTCTTCTGTCTGAAGCGTTCGAAGTTTTAGAGTCTCTCTCTAAAGTAGCAATGTTAGCACCAATATAGCTCTGACAAATACACAGAACTAAATTTACTCAAAAGGAAAGATCAAGTGATGAGGAGTGAAGACTTTGCAGTTAAACTGAAGCACTTAACACTGTCTAGCCAGAAAAAGGAATCAAATTTCTTTAAGAAACGTTAACTCTTTGTTCCCTTTCAGAGCTCTGTAAAACAGAATATTAAAACATGTGGAAGAAGCTATAATGCACTCCCCCTACATTTAAACACTGCACAGAATACCATCCATATACAGGAATTAGCCCATCTTACATAGAATGTGGTTTTATTGTTTTAAAGAAATAATGGATAATATAATCTTTTTCTACACTAAAAAGAGGAGAAAGTTATGAGGAAATAAATGAACTGAAGAGTAAACTGGAAGGGACACGGAACACTCACTGTTCAATCACTTCACTGAGACGTAGAGAAAAAAGTCAAGATGAAGGGAGGAGCACTTTTATTTACTACACAGAATGGAATATGATGTGGCAGGGTCAAATAACAACTAGTCATGTCTCTCAACACTTACTTGACATTTTTGAGAAAGAGCAAGCTAAAAGATAAACAGCCACCTGCTTTGTAAGTACCTTTTGTAATTACAGATGTGATTTAGCTATTGAACCCTATTTTGTTACAAACACATAAAAATATATTTCCTGAGCTAGAAGAAAATCCCAAATCTTTTTTTACCATAACAAAGCAAATCAGCATAACCAGAAAAACAACACCCCCCCCCAATCAAAGTGCAGGCTCTGAGTATTTGGAAATAAGACCTGAAAAAGTCCCATTACATACTATAAACATGAATTGTGAACCTTTCAGTAAACCAGCAACTTTAAAACATTAACGAATTAGACAAAACCTTAAGTGGTGAACAAGTAAAGAGATTCTAGGGAAATAAATTCCATAAACATTTGAGGAAACTGTGACAAAAACAACTGCTTCAGGAGTTGTTACAAAATGAAAGTCTTCTTCACTCAAGATAATCTCAGTTTTACTGCATCTTACCTGATAACACTTTAAAGTTAACATCGTCAAGTTGAATAGCTTAAACTGGATTCTATCCTGCCTCACACACTAAAAATACCATCAAGCAAGCAGACTGTTTTAACACTGCAGCTGCATGTACATATATATACACACATACACACACACACGAGCGTGTATGGTATATTTTCAATGTCGCTTTCTTCAGTGTATAAAACAATACCCAAAACCAGCAACTGCTCTTTCAAATTTTTAACAGTAGTTTCAGAAGAACAGAAAACTTGTTTGTCAAAAGGAAAGCTGAGTTTATAAACAAGGAAGAAGACTTCTTAAACAGAAAAAAAGTAGTAAGATCCCAACAATACGTTAAAATCTATTACATTTACCTGAATTTTAGTATTTTAGCAATAGCAACCGTACAGATATTTACAAATAGGCACATAATTTGACTTGTCATCAGGCTAAAGCTAAATAGCTGTCATATTTTTTACACAGCTAGGAAAATTCTCTTAACATAATGAAAGTCTGAGATTCAGCTCAAAATTAACACCACAATAAAACATTAGAGACTGCCACCTAGTGCCTATGTTTAAGCATAACCAAAGTAAAAACTTCAGCTTAAAACTATACTTTAAAATAGTCTTTCTTATGCAAACAAACTAGCATTTGCTCTAATCAGAACATACTTCTAAACTATGCATCTAAAAGCACTTCACATATAAAAGACTATTAATAATGCAAATGCAAGCAACTCAAAAAAAAAAAAAGCTAGAGTAAATCAACTCAAGTTTGGGGAAATCCAGAATGAAAACCCTGAAGTCCTTATTTATTCGAGGAAAAATTACAACATCAGTACAAATACTCCTTTTCTTTTAGGCTACACTTAAGGCTTACATAATGAGGTTTACTGTGAAGTAGCAACTTTTATGAAGGAAATTAATTCTATCCAATTTTTGATGCCTACACCAGCAAGGCAAACCAAAAATCCTATGTATTAGCAACTTCTTCTTAGTATTGATCTGAACGAAAAAGCAAGGGATTAAGATCTAAGATTTCTTAATATTATTCTGATTAGTTAGTCCTATCCAATTACTCTTTAAGACTCTTTGAAGGAAAGAAAATTACACATTTTATATAGGGATCCTTTGGGCAAAGTTTACCATGGAAATAAGGAAAACTTTTGTTGTTTAAAAAAAAAAAAAAAATCAAACTTTTGTTTCAGTATCAAAGAGTCTCTCAAAAGACATAAGCCAAGTCATTAACTCAAGTCTAAGAAATCTTAAAACGCTGTTCAAAGAGATGTTAGTTAAAAGAACAAAACTATAGGGTAAGGTTACTTCTCTGTCCTTTACTAACCTGAATATGCCTAAGCGGTGCTGTTATCAAACTGTTGTGTCTGAAGGAAACAACGATGACAGTTAGCGACTGGTAGCAAAGCTTAAAGGTCCCACGCGCACCTTTGCTTTGGCTAGTTTAGACCAAAACTTCTATTTTACAGTGGAAGAAGTCATTAGTAGTTCAAATGGCACTGAAAGGCCATAAAATTAGGCAGACACATAAATAGCAAAAGATTATTTAAGGGTATCAACACCTTTCTCTTGAATCAACTTACCGTAAGCCATAGCAAGGCAAAGTGATGAACCGGAACATTGCCAGAAAAACTCTCAAAGGAAGCAGGGTGAATACATACAGAAAAGCATCCAGGCACAAAAAGATTCCAAAAAACATCAACTAAATTACAAAAATAAAACAGAATTATGTTAGTAGTTTATAAAGAGTTACAAAAAGTTCATAAAGAATTATATTATTTTATGAAAAATACATTTACATAAGACTAACCAAATAAGCACAATACTCTCACTTGTTTAATCAGCTGAACTGTATGAAAAATAACATGCTATGCACTTGGAAGACTATTCAGCAAAAATTCTGCACCACAAGGTCCAAGCAGCAAAGGCTTTTGCAGACTTCCATGGCTCACCGAACTCAGTCTTTCTTGACTAGATGAATTGCACTTGGATGTAACTAACTCATTTTCCAATGGTGACTTTCCTCTAAGGTTACAAAAGTTAGTGTTTTTAACCTTAGAAAAAAAAACCAAGCAGAGCTGTGTGTACATGTGCACAGCCATTTTCTGCCTACCTCCTTTTTAATATGCTACCCCACCCCCCGAAAAAAATTCTTTTCCCTTGTTAATTTTATATTGCACAGCTAATTACAGCTGTGGCAGTTGTCCTTCAGAGAATATCCACCTTTTTCATACAAAGAAGAATATAAAATATGAAGAGGTAAACTTCCAGTTGCCCTCAGTTTAAATGCTTTATCCTTAATTTACAGAAATAGTTAAAGCCACTTCATTATAGCCACAAGCCAAGCAACTCTATATAATTAAACTAGACCTAAACTCTGCAATTAGAAAGCTCTTCTATACCAGACTCTCCCCATACGACTTTCCTTCTTTACCTGTTCTTTGAATGTATCTAAGATTTACCTGAATGAGACTCTAGCCATATGCTTTTACACTTCTGTCAGACCAGAAGCTAGCCTTTTTTCCTGCAAGGAAAATCACATAAAAAGGCAAGCTTAACTGACTACACAATTAAGACTAGCAACATCTAAGCAGGCCTAGATATCCATGACAGATATGCATTTACATGTGAAAGCTGTATGTATTGCTGACGGGAAAGGAAGACACTGGTTTGGGGGGAGGAGGGAAGTAAACCAAAGCCCAAGTACTTTCACCTGCCACAATCTCTTTGCCTTTCCAAATAACCTTCTTCGTCAACAGGCAGTTCAATGTCCAATCACCAATACAATAGGTACCTTTGACTCCTACTCCTCGAGCATCCTTGTAACTGAAAGCAATCCTACGGCGTACACTCCATGGCATCTACATGCAAGCCACATAAGATGACTGACCCAGGCACAACAGCAGTGCTATCATCTCTGAGCTGTTGCTTTCCCTTATAATACTATTTCCACCAATTCTGCAGTCTGTACTTCATCACAACATTAAGGTCTCCTCCCTGATACTCACTCATTCACCTCTAGTACCATTTTCTAAAATTTCAGCGGAGAGTTATCATTCAAAATTATCAGGAGCAGTGGTTACAAATAATGAATGAATTTATGCATTGCATTTTAATATGCTATTAAGTTACCTATTTATTTGCTAACTTTTAAACCAGGTGCTGAATATCCAAGCACTGAGAACGACTGGAGCTGAACATATATCATCTTTTTTTAAAAAATTTTTTTAAACTCCTTAACCCCAAGCAAAATAGAAAGATAGTCTGTCCTTTTGCCCCTGTGTTCTTTGAGGGCATCTTTATAATCTAGAAAACAACTCTGCATTTTCTTTTTGATTTAGACAGACTTCTTCTCTGCCCAAGTAAAACCACTGTTTTTCACATTCTGTAAGCTCGTGTTAATATTTGCAACTGTTGCTTTAATGTCCACATTTTCCTAATTTTTTACTACATTGCACTTGCATATTTACATGCATTCATTGAAATATAATCAGCACTGAACCTTCCATTCACTTCTGTAAACATTATTTTTGCTGCCACATTCCAGATGCTGAGGAGCTAACAGAAAAGCTTACAGAGCATCATCATTACTATATTTTAGCAAAAGAGCACTAAGTTTAATTTTGAGATCAATTTACAAGTGTTCCCTTAAGATAGCAGGAATAGGGACCACCTTTTCATTTAGTACAAATAACCTATTACAAGGAAGAGCTTCCAATGAAACTGCACAAAAAGCTTGAGTGGAAGTAGCTTTTATATTACAAATTATCTAGCTTCTCTAAATAAAAAAGGGGTATTCAGAACAACAACAACAAAAAATACTACCCTTTTAAGATCACACCCCACTCTAAAATTATGTGTATGTAATAAGTGCATGTTCAAGAATACCTCCCAAGATTAGGCTTTGATAAATTTACTCCAGTTTATTCTCACTCTACTTGATTATGATTTTCATTCCTAGTCTGTAATTATACTATTAGGTAGTAAACAATACAAGCCATTAAGAAAATTGTCCTCCTCCTTTCCTAGTGTCTCATGTGCTTTATTTCAATTAAGCAGACTTTTGTATCACACCGTCAAGTAATTCGTGATGATCTGTACACCATTTAGTTTTCTAGGTGCTCATCATCATACTTTTCCAATTTTTTTCATGGGTATGATTCAATTTGATATAGCTAGTAGATATACTAATCTGGACTAACCCCATTGAAAGAACTAACAAATTTATTTCATAATCACTCTGTAAAAAGCTAACTACCACTTTTTAAATCTACCTGCTTATTACTCAGTTTCACATTCTTTCTTTCAAAGTACAGACTGAAGTTTGATTTACCATGCAAAACCCATCACTTTCACCACTTACAGCATCAACCTTATTTATGAAAGACTGCTGGCCTTCACTTTTTCTTACACACTGGAAGTTTTATTGGAAATCTACGCTGATGATCCTTCAGAATAATTTCTGTGGCTTGGAGACAGCACGTAATAGTCTACATAATTACAACAATTACTGCTGTATTGTTCAGCTGAGACTCTACCGTAACTGGAATATTCTACCATAAACTGGAATGGGTAAACAGTAAGGATGTGAAGACACTATCCCTGGAGATTTTCAAAGGCCAGCTGGATCTGGTCCGGAGCAACCTGTTGTAGGTAATGCAGCTTTAAGCAAGGGCTTGGACTACAGCATCTCCAGAGGTCTGTTCCAATCTCATTCATTCTGTGATTTTCTGCAGTAACTGACTGGGAATTTAGTTTTGTAAAACCAGGTCCCATCATGGTCCAAGGATTAATTTAATGATACTGAAGAGGGATCCTGAGCACTGCTGACAAAGAGAATCCTACTATCCCTCCCTCCTACACTGCTCTTTCATCTTTCTGTCCCTACCCCAAGCCATACAGCTCCCCTTCCGCCCTTGTGTAGGCTCTGGATTCTCAAGAATATTTGCTGAGCAATTCAGCTCACCATCCTAGCAAAGAACAAACAGAGCAAGAAAAGTGAAGCATTCACTTTCAAATTATGAGCTGATTTAACTCTTAGAATGGTCCAACAAGCACCACAGCTCACGCAAAACAGGCAGCATGTGTAAGGCAGGAGACTGAAGTTGGAGGAACGGTGAAACAAGACTCTTCCTTCAATATAAATTAAATTGATTTAGCCCTACCATATAACTTCATCCCTAGAGGTTTTGAGAATTTTAGCAATATTACTTTTAATGGTATCATTACACTGCAGCCTAGCCAAACCTCATTATCAATGTTGCCTTACTCATCATCCTTGAGCATATTCCTGCTGTCTCCCAAATCAAAATGGTTAGGGCAGAATAAAACTCTCTTCTATATTAGAGCACTGGAATTGGCTCACTGCAGGGCCAAAAGTATATCTAAACTGTCATAAGGGAGGTGGCAGGAATGCCTCAGGAGGGGCCATAGCACCAGGACAGAGAGGAAAGATGTGGTAAACACTGGCAAGAAGCAAAACAGAATACTATGAAAATTAACTCAAAAACCTTAGACAGAAAGTCATCCATCACCATATTTTTAAAGGAGTGAAATCTTCCCACCCTCAAATCATTTTAGACCAGAAAAATCTTTAAAGCTTTTTTTTTCTTTTTAATGTAAAATTACATTTTGCTGTAAAAAGTTTTCTTTTGCTTGACTGTTCCTTTAAGGATCAGTGACATCTTTATATTTTAATTTGTCATCTGCACTTGAAAGTTAGTTATGTCCATCCCTGCTGATAACATGAATTGCCAACAGCAACAAGCAAACATAGGCAAAAAACCCCAAAACACAAATGTTTAACTTACTAACACTGAAAAGTAATCATTACAGCTGTTTTAATTATTTTTTAGTAGCAAAAGTGTTTGAATAATAAATATTTCTTTAAATAATTTAATGCAAATCTTGAAGTATACTTCACCTTTTCCAGTTCTTTTGGTATCCGCATGCACGTGTATACTCTCTCTCTCCGCTCTGTGTATTTTGCTTCATTGTGTTCAAGGAAGTAACCTCTTGTTAGCTCAGCACTGATGAATCTCAGCAATGAAAGATCTACATTCAGGAACACACATAAGCAGAAGATGCTTCAGGCATGATCTCCAAAGAGTGAGAAGACTGCTATGCTTTCGTTGCTTGCTACATGTTTAATTTACATCACACCTAACCCAGAAGGTTTCTGCTGATCATAACCAGAATGTCAAATAACTTGGTATGGAAGGACCTATATGAGAAGCAAGTCCTATGCTCTCCCATTTCCCTGTTGCCTCTCAACAAACAAAACAAGCTACTTTTCCCAGCCAACCACTGTCATCAGACATCCCACTTCTCCAAAACATTACTCAAAGCAGCTACACTGAATGCAGTATGCTGAGTGGATCTAATCCTTAATGTACTGACAGTCCTCCTAAACTTACTAAGCTCTACTTCAAGACTTCTTAAAAGCTATTTTCTCTCTCAGCAACACTCGGAGCTTGTTCTTTAAAATAAAGAACGACTTTCTGCAAGATCAAAACACTGATGATACATGATCCCAAGTGATTCAATGCACAAACAGTACAAGCATGCTGATCATTTGATGGTCAGACCGAACTCTTTCAAGACCAAAAAGCCATCAAGCACGTACATACAGGTCTTCTGCATTTTAATGGCTGTAGGTAAATAAGCCAAAGGCTGACTGACCCATATTTAGTCAACTCATATGGCTTCTAAAAAAGACTTTGTGCAGAGCAGTCTTGCAAAAGGAAATAAAATATGAAGTTACAATTATGAAAATTCAGGCTGTCAGCACAAGGAGGTTGAGCTTCAGCTTCGACACTCACTAACAAGGTCTGACATTACCACCTCCTGGTAACACTTCAGAAGTGACAGAACACTACAATAAAGTTCAACATTTCTGGTTATTATTGGCATTTAAAAACAGAAACTCTCAGTGTTCACACGACATCCAGAAGATGGAAATCACTTATCTGGACAGATAGGGGAAAAGCTACAGAGCATTTATCATGACACAAGAACATGCTCACAAATACTAAATTCCGATTTTCGCCAAAGCCTTAGCGATTACTGGGGTGTGTGTGGACCTTGCATGGTACAATGTTCCACGTTTTGGGGGAGGAGGAAGAGACTGCATAACACACCCTTAGTAAAACAGCCTGGGTAACAGCTGTTAAGTGAGGAATGCAAGTATAGATGCTACATGTGAAGAGTTCACCCCAAACTGTCTGAGACAGTGGCTTCTCAATATTCACCACACTGAAGATGATGAAGACCATTAATTGGAAGAGTAGCCAGAAAATTACAAAGAGTTTTAAAACAAAGAAGGAATCAGCTCAAACAGAAGTATAAAAGAAGCAGAAGAGGCAGGGTGTGCTTATAACCTACACTGCCTCGGGTAGAGGGCATGTGTATTGACTGTGATTAGAACTTGCGGGGATTACAAATGGGCATTTTGAAGTTTGCGGTGGTATATTAACATTCTATGTATGTCTAGCATTGTGATTTATCATGTTGCTGATACTGATCAGAGCTATATAATTCACGGACTGCTGGTTAATTATGTATTGTTAATAAATCATTTGCTTTAAACTACTTGAACCAAACAGTTTTTCCCTGTATGAGCTTGTCTGGATAGTGATTTTGATGATTTATATGTTACTGATCCACTTCTAGTAAGTGGGCCAAAGCCATTGTAAACCTTAAAAGTATTTATTTGAAAACAAACAAAACCAACACATAGTTTAATGAGTAGTAAAAAACCTAATATTT